TTTATGGTGGTGCCGCAAATTAGAGACCATATAAGGTCTTTGTCACGGTATGACTTATTTTACCGTAAATATGTCTTATGAAGATATTGTGGAGTACAATGTGATTAGTTATGATCTGTCGGAAGAATTAGAGTATATGACAAGGGATCCGTTCACAATCTACTATATGTCCCTTTAATAGATTGTTCTTAAAACATAGTTACCTGCTATTGAAAGTCTAACTAACCCTCAAGGTCACTTACACAAACATGATATGTTCATTTAAACTCAAACAGAAAAACACATCCTTAGAATAGGGTATTGATGTGGTCTTAAGGAACATTAATCAAAAGAGCAGGTCACTGGAATTGTATGTGTAGAATAGTTGGGCCTCTACATAAGGAACCCATGTGATGGAAATGCAAACATAGATCATCGAGGGCATGTGATTGACTCAAACTGAGGGCAAAGGCGATAAGACAGGAAGCACAAGAGATGCTGCAAGGTCACAGACGTAATTGCTGTAAATGAGGTTATGTTCCGTCAAGGATACATTATACAATGCCTCAGCCGTTTGTAGAATATAAGAGAAATTACCCCTCAGGTGTCCTTTATTCCCATGAAACGTTATGTATACGTATAAATCTTCCTTTTGGAACTTCTTCCCTTCTCACTTCTAAACATTGACAGTTTTTTTTTAAATCAGCAGGTGGTCAGCCGAAGATGGATATCAAGTATATCGTAACAGGAGTCTCAGCATTGCTTGTTCTTACTGCCATCCTTTGTGCATTTTGTATTCGAAAATGCTGGTCGAAAAGAAGGTGAGTCCACTTGCAGAAGTGGTTTAATGGTAGAGCGTCCGCCCGGAGAACTGAAGGTCCTGGGTTCGATGCCCGACCGCGTCATGCCAAAATATGTTAAAAGATGGTACTTATTGTTGTCTGGCGCTCGGCATTAAGGAGTTAAAGCAAGGACTGGTACACTGTTTCTGAGTGGGGTATTCATGTTAAACTGTGGCATGGTATCTCAGTTGGCTAGCACTAAAATTCGGCATTAGTCCGGACCAGTACAAACAGCCACACACACTCACGCACGCACGAACGCACGCACCACGCACGCCCGCCCGCAAGCCCGCACGCACGTACGCACGCACGCACGCACGCACACACGTCGCTGCATAAGTGCAATAATCCTGAACACGACGTTACATCCCATTTCACCTCACCCCACCTCCTCGGTTTTACACTTCCTTGGTTATTCTGATGAACCGTCAGTACCAGAAGCGACAGTTGACTATTTACATGGCAATGTACACACATGGGGACGGTTCCTCATATGGTCTAAGATGCCATAACTCGCTTTGAAGACGTACATCTCCTACCTCACAGGATATCGTGGGTTCGTGTCCAAGTGTAGGCGAAAAAAAGGATCGTTTTCTGTCACCATTATACGCATGGTCGGTGGTTTACCAAGAGCTGTCCATCATTACAGATAACCAAAATAAAAAAAATTCTGTTGACTAGTTTACCGTTTAAGACTTAACCTTTTCAATGTATACACAGACAGGATGAAGCAGACAACTTCATTGTCGAGTACCAGCCTGGATCAGACAGATATTGGGAAATCAGAGATGCAGATATGAACCAAGAAAGTGACTCCCCTCAAAATAGTGTTTTGGCAGAACAGCTTCAGGAAGCACACGTCAGTGAGACACACGGTGACCTTTCGTCCGATGACGCTCCTGAAGACAACCCGCCATACACTCACCTAGTGCATGGCATCTGCATCGATGACCAAAGAGCTTATACCAAATATATAACACCAGCTGAGGAAAAGGATCAGCCTCCATCCCCTTCACTTTAATATATATTCGGAACATTCTGAATAACCAAATAAAATCAAATGTCAAGATCACTTTGAAGGTCATTCACTCATGTAACTTACTGTAGCAGTATCATTTAAATTTGACGAAACGTAATACACTGATCCCTAGATTATTATCAGAATGTCCTAGATCACCTCCATTTAGAACCGAAGTGTATGTTGGTTATTTGGTTTAAGAGATATATACGTTATATATATGATTTTTCATTTATAAGCGATTAATTTTCTTTGCTGTAGGATAGTTTTTGTTTCTGTGTTGGTTGTGTTTGCTGTAAGTTTGCTTTACGTGCCAAAAAGCAGGGGATTGTGGAAATCATCAAGTCAGTGAGTGAGTGAGTATAGTTTTACGCCGCTTTTCGTGCGCTTTAACGCTTTAACCATTAGTCTACCCGACCGCCGCCAGGACATCATCAAGACATTGGTAGATGGAAATGATATGGCCCTGGGGAGTTGGTGATCAGAACGACTTCGTTCTCATGGCTAGTGTGATGAGATGGTGGCATATTTCATTAAACAGGTGTCAAATTCGTAATTTGCATTTTTTAGCCAACTAATATGAGGTAAAACCACCTCTGTTGACCGGACATGCACGAATTCATCGATGCATGCTTCTTATGAGACGACTAATGTCAGCCTGACTCAGGTTGTGATAGCAACACTGACGTTTACTGAGCAACGCTGACGTTAACGCCCATAAAACGCTCATTAGGACCTCTCTAAGCTCGATTCCTTCAGTTGTGGAAGAAAACATGACATCAGTCCAAGTCGTTTGTCTCAGTGCTGACGTTCCGTACACCACTGACGCCTCTGATTCAAATGACGTGCAGTACGTTGTGGGATGACACTGGCACGTGGACATGGACGTGCACGCAAATGCCTTCTGTGCAGACGATTGCACACCGTCTGGGCATGAACTCTTACATCAACTGCCTGTTGCAACCGGTCACTTGTCTGAGTGGCAGTTCTGACTACTAGTCGGCCCTAGGCTGGAGTCGTTACCCTCGGCGTCGGCGTCGAGCATCGACGTTATGTGATTGTTGGAATCAGGCCCACACTCTTATGATAACCGATTGCGAAACTTGCAGCGTTTGGGCAACAATATGTGTGCCCACCTGCAACATGCTAATGACACGTGAACATTCAGCACGTAGCAAATGTCGCACGTGCTATCCGATGTCACGTGCTTCATGACTGTCACAATGGTGTGTTATAGGTGACTTGATTTCTTCGGAAATGTTCTTGATACAGAAATCACTTACTTTCATTGCCCGTCATTGGTGTATATTCCTGTAGTTTCAGCTAAAAAAAAATATATATCCCCTACTTTTTTGCATAGTACAGATCAATCAGATTAAGTGGCTTCGTTTTTTACAGACATGAAAATACTTAATTTACTGCTGGAAAAAAGCAACTCTGCTTCAATTGAAGTAGACTTATTTTGCAATTTTGCCAATTATTACGCAAAATGAAATCTGTTTCAACAGAAACTCCATGCTGTTTATTCTTTTGCATTGACAACTTAAATTTAATTGAAGTCCCGGGGTTTCATCATAAGCAAAGTAGCATTTATCTATGCTGAGTCAACTACAAAAGAAAATAGTTCGGCCGAGACTTTAGAAATGTAAACTTTTCAGCAGAAAATCTAAGCTGGTTATTCTATTGCATTGACAATTTATATTTACATGTTTCTGTGTACAGTATACTATTCACATTCTTGTCTTGTGAACCTCTTATGTTGTCTACACCGAGCTAGTCGAGCCTGACGCTGACGTGGAAGCAAATGTGGGCTTATCACTGGAAGTTGGGGTCGGATATTGTGCTCCCTCAACCAGTTGTGAAGGGTTCTGCCATTTACTGGTTTTAACCAAGGAATTGTTCGAATTATTAATGTGGCAGTTGTGTATGGATTTCTTAGATAAACTAATCGAATGTTGTTGTCTTGTTGACATGATGTCACACCTGGACGACCGGCCCGTGGCAAGTCATGAGTGTTTCCCAGTTGTATATAACGTCTTCAAAGTTTCAATGAATATCAATATGTCTGGCAGGCTAGCCTGAGAAAAACTACCAGTAGACATGGCATTTTGTGGGTAAATTGGACATCATCGCAAGCCAAACCCATCACCACCTGTTGGGCTATAAATCATTCCGTTTTCGTTCCGAAGCCTCCATCAGCTCAAGCATTGCAAGTACAAGTACATAGTTGATGATCTTGTTAACTACTGGGAATGGAAACTATATAATGTTTTATTATTGTACAATTGTACATACAGCAGATTTGTTGCTTCAATAAAACCTCTGCCTTTGTAGTGTCGTAGTTTTACCTATTTTCTCTGTGCTTGAGCGTTTGCCCAGAGAGCTAGAGATCGGTGGTTCGATCCCGCGTCACACAAAAAGACGTTTAACTTAGGTACTTATTGTTACTCTGGCTGCTGCTCGGTTTGAACCATTGTAGTGGTCACACGTGCATACTTGATCATGTTTCACATGTGATTGTAACATTTCCATATCGTTTAAAGTTTATGATTAAATGGCCTACTGTTACCCTTCCATACCTGTGACAAGGAAATGCAAGGAGGTAAATGCTCTGAGGTCATGTATTTTAAGCCATATGTTCTTTGGATGCACATGTCGCCAAGTCATAAAATGGACTAGACAAGCCTCAAGCAATTATTGTAAATGCAATATTACATATCATATATTCATTATGGTACATTTGAGTTATTCTCAGGTTTAGAAGAAACAGCTAATTGTTTCTCCCGAGCGTGTGTTAGTTCAAATGTTTGATTTGGAGTTATCATTATCATTTAAGTTAATCATCAGTTAACATGACTAGATATTTAATATTTAATTGTTTGCTTTGTTAAACATTGAGACAGCTTCTCGTCTGTTTCAATTCAATCAATCGGCACTGTGAAAACGATCAAAAAGAAAATAGATAAGAATGAAGAATAAAGAGCACAAGAAACTTGGTTATTACAGGCATGAAACAGGGATTGGTTGGCACGGAGCCAGAATAATGTGTCCGAGTGAGCCCTATTGTCCTATTGTCAAACTCTCACAGGCTAACATTTCAATACATATGCTGGCTTTAACGCATGTATATTTAGTGTACAAACATACCTTGCAGTGATTGCACGAGGAGCAGGATATAAGGGAGTATCGTCCTTCAAAACGTAAGCAGCAAGTTAAGTATTTTCTTTCTAAGAATGTGACCAAACAGTTTTGCTTTGTCTAAGATATTCACTGTAATTGAAAATAAATTTATGTTGGACTGACGCATTGTTTTTAACTGCATTTCAGTACGCGTCTCTAATAATGCGATCAACACCCATGACATATCACACATCATATTAAATTGCACGATGTATTTATGTATTGTACGAAAAGTACCCTAGCCTATATGTTATCCTTCACTGGTCCCGCGTGTAAAATAACTGTTTCGACAAACAAAAGAACAGCGTATGTCTTTTTATGGCTTACCTTTACGGCACAATGTCAATGGGATATTGTACGACTGCTTCTGCGTATATAAGTCGACATAAGATGTCGTCTGACTGATTTATTGTCGGTCCCTGTAACATTCCCTATCGGAATTTCAGATCGGATTGTTAAAACAAGGCAATTTGGCCAAGAAGGTCAACTTAAGTTACAGGGCCTCGTTCTGTGAAAAGATCGTAGCGCAACGGTGACCGTAAGCCTAAGGGAATGTTAAAGTATGGGATTTATCATCATCTTAGCGTTCATTAAGATTGCTTTAATTGGCCCTGGTTTTAATCCGAATTTCAATCCACTTGCCACGGTGGCCATATTGAAAACTTATTAGTACCCACTTCTCAGGCGTGATTGTTTCAATTGTAATTTTTTTAGAAGTTTGTATTAAGACAAAACACAGGTTTTTTCTTAAATGTTGACCTTTTCACCTCTCAATTCTTAGGCGGATAGATGATCTGATATTGTTCAATAACGATAAAAATGCCAATTCTTCGAATTCACCGTTTAGCAGAGATTTGTTAATGAGTATGGAAAGTGTTTTGTCGCTTATATTCAATTCAACACGTATCAATGTCCCTTATACATGCAAGTCATGTTGCATTAAAAAACTCAGCTGGGGGGTCATTTCTTTTGATTTTGCTTAAAATGATATTCATACCGATATCAAAAGCTTTGGCTTATGACCATTGCCAAACGGCAAAGGGCAGTTTATAGTGCCTGACTGTACCCTGAACACCCCCCCCCCCCCCCCCCCCCCCCACACACACACACACACCCTCACCCCCACCCCACCCCAATACGTGGATCCAACATTCGAGTACCGATATAAGTATCATGCCAGGCTTAGGCTAGGACGAATGCCTGCTGGCCAGACTGCACGAATGGTTACCCATGCTTTTAATGCCGATGTGAGAAACAGATTGCAGCAACGATGCCAGGTCACCAACACCTATAGTCGTCCTAAAGCCTGGTTTCACTGATTCTTAGTAATTCTTGGCACCCAGTATCGATACCAGAATGTTGGATCCATGTATTGGGGTGTCGGGCTCGAGGGACAAGAAAACGCAAGTGAATTTCGGTTTTCATACAAATTACATGTCTATATCTGTATGACATGAGCCCATTCAAGGAATGACTGATTGAAGGTTAAGTCTGAAATCCACTGTTATCCACTACCATTCAAATAGTATCTCTTTGATGAAAATCACAAACAGAAAATGTTAATGTTAAACAATGAAAACAATGCCCTGACATTGTGTCAATCTTCCATAATCGGTCGTAACACTTCAAATTCCTAATCATTTCGCATGTTTATCAATGTTTGTTTACAAATCACTTTTTACATACAAGTAATGCCTATAAAGTGTGTAGTCCTCTGTTGGATGTCCAATGTGTCATTGCAGGCTACAGCGAAAAGAGCAGATGTACTGATGTTTATCTTACTATATATCATACTCGGTGAGTGTATCTATTTACAAATAGCTTCATTTCAAAATGTGACATAACATGACTTAATATTTGCATAAAATATTTATTTTTTTATGTTCTTGTTTTGAAAGTAAGCTACACGTATTCTTGGATCCAATGAATGGAAATTATAATATATACTGAACAACAAAAGTTGAATAAGGTTTGATGTAAAGTTATGTTTTTACCATTTCTGAAACAATTTCGGTTTGCAACAGATAAAAGACTCCTGTAAGTGTTCAAATGGTTTAATTTGCCATACTGACTTCAGAAAATACGTGATTTCATAAAAAGCATGATCATGCCAAAATATCAATTTACAAATCAATAGCGTGTGTGTCCACCTCTGGTTGCGATGCAAGCAACACATGTTCATCTCATGGAATTGACCAGGCGTGCACAATGTCCAGTGGGATATCTGTGCATTTCTGCTGGAGCATGTTTCGAAGTTCCTGGAGTGTTTGTGGAACACGTGGTTGACGTCGAAGGCGCCGATCCATCGCATCCCACATGTGCTCGATTGGTGAGTGATGGGAACGAGCCGGCCAGGGGATGACATTCACGTTGTTTTGTTGAAGAGAATCCTGAACAAGTCGAGCAATATGAGGTCGGGCGTTGCCATGTTGAAAGGTAATGCCTGGGCCATGACGACGCCAAAACGGTAGAACAACAGGGTCGATGATCTCGTCGCGGTAGCGCTGTCCCTCTACCACTATGAAATGGGTCCTCTGTCTTGCTATAATCCCATCCCATACCATAACGCTGCCGCCACCGAACCGATCCTCTTCCATGACACAACGATTGACGTAACGTTAACCTCGACGTCGGTACACTCGAATCTGTCCATCGCTGTGGCTGAGGTGAAAACGAGACACGTCAATGAATAGAACTTGTCCCCACTGCATGGCCGTCCAGCGTAGACGCTGTCTGCACCCCTGTAGACTTGCTTGACGGTGGTTTCCTGTCAAAATGGGACGTCTGGCGGGTCTTCTGGCGACAATCCCTGCACATCTGAGGCGGCGACGTACGGTTTGTGAAGATATTCGTCGAAGGCCAGGGATGTTTCTTGTTTCAGTCACTGTTGCTGGTTGGAATCGGTTTCGTAGGTGTGTTGTTTGCATCCAGTTGTCTTGTCGATTATTTGTTACGCGTTGCCTGCCACTCCAAGGATGGTCTCTGACTGCATTTGTCTGTTGCCAACGTTGCCATAAACACCAAATGGTGTTTCTGTGGACGTTAAATTGTCTTGCAACATCAAGTTGACTCGATCCTGCTTCAAGCATACCAATGGCTCGCAGACGCTTATTTTCGGACAGGCGTGGCATTACGTAATGTTGAATAATTGCGTAATTTTGTTGTTTTTCTGAGTGGTTGTTGTCAGCAAGATGCTAAACAATGCATATGGAATCCCGTTAATGCACATGTTTTTATACCCATTCTTGGGTACTGAAATGCATGGGGCTTGCATAAAAGTTTACTTTTGCATGGAATGCATGCTTTTCTGTTGCAGTTGCGTTTTTGTGACTTGATTCCATAGATGTACTACAATACTGAAAACCAAACTTTATATGTTTGAAAAATACACTAAAATATTGGTGTCACAGGAACTTTAGTTGTTGAGTATATTTAATCATTCGAACTATAGACTTAGAAATGTAGTCGATAAGAAAACATTTACATTATTTGTACAATATTTGTTTATGCTATGTTGCAGTGCTGGATGTCAGTGGTGACCCAATATGTCCATGGGGCAGATATGGAGATACATGTGACAAAAACTGTTCTAAACGCTGTAGTATATCACCTAGCCTGGACATTATACACTGTGACAGGGGCAGTGGACGTTGTTCGGAAGGATGTATTCCAGGCTGGTATGATGATACATGCAATAAAGAATGCAACACGAAATGTATCAACAACACCTGCAATCACGGAGATGGAGCGTGTACAAGAGGCTGTAAAGATGGCGAAAAGGGGAACTTTTGTGAAAGTATGAATTAGAAAATATAACTAAACTGATCACACAAAATATGTGTACGTGTCCTCCAAATCCGCCATTTTGAATTCAAGTTACAAAAGAATATCATTGAATAATATGAATTTGTTTCTCAGGGTATTGAAGAAGAGTCCCCAGTAACTAGCCGTAATTTTGCAGCCATTATTTGCAAGAATTTGTTAGATATCTTCCCTGATCGTTAGGAGTGTAGTTAATTCCGCGCTGGCCATAGGTTAAATACATGGCAATGCGCAGGTAAAAGTACTAAATTATAAGTTGACAGATGACGAATCCCCTTATTTAAAAAAAAAAGTTTTGCAAAGACACTTCTACACTAAATCAAAATTGAGTAAGTGAATAAAGTTTACAGTGGCATATGTGGCTAAAAAAGCTATTGGCCCTTGTGTTAAAACTCGAATGAATAATTTTTGTTTTACACAGGGCGAGGATACAAAATGAGGTCAAATCAGCAGAAGCCGTATATTTCTATAGTATATTATCAACAGATGTCTGTTGATAAAACATCCAGTTAACATATTTTTCTTAATGTTTTTAGTATATCCCCTTACGTACAAATGTTGACGTTGTAGAAAACCATATACATGTCAAGGTTTCTTTCCATGCGTTGACAGGGATTTGCGTTAAGAAATAGTGATGTACTGTACATACAACTTAAATTCAGTCTTCCTGTATCTGTTGTCACAAGTAGCGAATCAAACATTTCTTTGGTCATATTTATAAGCGTTTTGACATGCGTGTACCTTAACAGTCCATGCATGCAGCTTAAGGTAAAGTGAAAATTAACACTACGCGCGGGGCAATGACAGACGCTCGTCATATGGGACTGTTTAAAATACAGTATTCATGTTCCTAGATGTGCATCTGTATGAATGTTGTCATGCAAGACCAACTCGTGTTATTCCGGGAAAAGACGAATACCGACTCAGCCCGTCTTGTGGCCATTTTTGCGACTTGGCTCCGTCTATGTGCGAACGGGCATTACTATAAAAATTGTCAACTGGTTGTGGAACGATCCAAGTATAGTCTCCCCATATACAATACATTTTGCAGATTTCTTTTTAAAACACATCGGACTTAAGTTTTTATACAGTATGATTGCATCAGTATCCATGGTTACTCTTGAATTAACCAGGGGCACAAGGAAATGCAGTTGAGAAGAGATGAAAGAAACATATGTCTTTATAATTTATCAATTAAATGACACAAATGCTATTTTCGATCTTGTAATAACCACCAAAAGCAGTGAGGTCTTATAGAATTATAAACTGATTATATGTGTATAGTTTCAGGGGAAAAACATGAAACCAAGGGGAATGACAGCACAACATATCTGTGGAAGATACTCGTCCCTGTTATTTGCATCATTTTTCTGTTGCTAGTCGCCATGGTTCAAATCGGTATCGTACGGTAAGCATTGGCATCTCTCAATGTATATAAATGCTTTCAGTGGGCTTATGTATGTCGGTCGCACCTGAACCTGTTACAAGCTTTACATATCCCAAAGCATATCCAATAAACAAGAACTAATTATCCCAGCAACATGTTTAGTTTTTGTTTGTATGTGATTGATTGCACTTGCAATTCATCAATGTAACTGAAGTCGTGTAAACTATGCGGTAGTAACAATACATAGAGATACAACTGCAACATGCTTGCATCTTCTTGCATCTGAAATATAATTATTGTTTGTTAATGTAATAAGTTTAATTTGATGATTTCTTTCCTTTTCAGTCGATGCGAAAATAGTAAGTATAACACTTTTCATTTCATTTTCTAAAGATTTATGAGTGAACATACGTTATTGCTCAAACTGGAGTGAGGTTACATAGTCGTCTTCCATTAATGTGAGTAGCTCAATAACACTATTTATTGTGAGAGTAGATATACATTACGTTCCATTCATTCATAGATCTACAACCAACTAAGTGATCAATTTGAGTTCAATGTAATAATATAATATAACAAAAACTATGGCAAAAATGTAGAGGATATTCGGAATCATCTAGATATATATTCTGATCAACATGGCACTGGAAAATGGACATCATGTGATCACATCTGAGGAGGATTAGATCGAGTTGGCTTCGAATAGATTATGTGATGAGATGGTGGCACAACACGTCGTTAAATAGGTCAAATTTTGCATATTGCAGACAGCGTCGCTAATATCGTATAAAACCACCACTGTTGACCAGACATGCACGAATGCTTCGAAGCATGCTTCTGATGTCAGTTTGGCTCGTGTTGTTCGTGTTGTTCGTCTCATCTCTAGAAGCAACTGTGATTTCGTTGGGAGAGGGGAATTAATTTTGACCTTGACGTACACGTCTGCCATGAGGTAAAGGTTAGGACTGAGTTGGGGCCGTGGCCATCTTCCCGAGGCAAAAGAGTTTACTGACTTTAAAAGTCCAGTTTCCACCCTTGCCGAACTTGGCTTGAATTACTTGGCTCGATCGTAGCGCCACCAGTGGCTATTACCAGTTATGTCCCTTCTAAGCCTGTCCTATGGACCAATCAGATTCCACTTCTCGTATCACTTGTGTTTGCTTCACATAAAATGGTGGCGCCCAGTCAGGGCGATCTGATCGATAATCAAGATCAATATTGTGATAAAACAGGTCTTACATCGCGGAATGCATCAAATCACGTTGGCGGTGCACATGCTTTGCAAATCCTGCAATCGATCGAAATCTGCACGACAGTTGTCGACCCGGATTTCGATTTCGGTGCGCGATTTTGATTGGACTATGCATAGACTCGTTAGCCCAGCCAAAATGTAACTCCATAATACCAGCCTAGTTCGGCAAGGGTGGAAACTGGACTTTTAAAGTCAGTTAACTCTCTTGCCTCGGGAAGGGGGGCCATGACATGACATGGATGTTTTGCTGCTGGATGAATGTGGCATAATCCTGATGTGATGGAGTTCGGTTAGGCCAGTCATTGTGATACCACCCCATAAAACGCTCATTAGGACGTCTTCAAACTCGATTCCTTCTGTTGTTGATGTCAAAAGTGAACCTCGATTCCTCAGAATACATGACATAAGCATAAAGTCGATTATCCCAGTGCTGGCGTTCCCTACACCACTGACGTCTCTCATTCAAGTGACGTGCAGTAAATTGTGGGATGACACTGACACGTGGACGTTCTTGCAAATGCTATCTGTGCAGTCGATTTCGCACCGTCAGGGTATGTGCTATTACACCAGTTGCCTGTTGCAACCGGTCCCTTAAGTGTGTGGCAATTTGCAACCGATTTCTTATTGTCATCGTTTATACTATTAATCTGTCCCAGGCTGAAGTTGCAATTGATAATCAAGAGCGGCGTCGATCATCAACGTTATGAATTTGGTGTAATCGGGTCCACAATGTGTTGATGTTAGATTGAGAAATATGCAGCGTTTGGGCAACACTCTTATAACGTGTGGCCAGCTGCAACATACATGTGGCACGTAAACGTTCAGCGCATTGGAAACGTCGCATGATCAGTCATGTTGCTTCCTTCTTGATTAAATGTGTTTAATATAGTGTCGGAAATGTTCTTGCGACATTGATCACTTTCATATTGTCAACCCATGCTTGCCGTAAAAGGAGACTATGCTTGTCGTAAGAGGCCACTAACGGGATCGGATGGTCGGCTCGCTGACTTGGTTGATGTATGTCATCGATCCCAATTGCGTGGATCGATGCTCATGCTATTAAGCACTGGATTGTCTGGTCCAGACTCAATTTTTTACAGACCGCCGTCATATATCTAGATCTGTAATATTACTGAGTGCGGCGTTAAACAACAAACAAACAAAATAATCAACCAAATCATATAGTCAGACATGTGTTTTCCAGTAGTTCCACCACAAAGCATAATATCCCCTATCTTTTTAGCACAGTACACAAACTCAATAAACATAAAAAAACTTGTTTTTATTCTGTTTTATGTCGCATTGTTGCATTGTCGCGCTTGTTTATTAATGGTGTGCATATGTAGTTTACTGCAAGCGAATAAATGGTTATACGCCAATGGTTTCTAAAACAAAAGTACCAATGGCAATGTGGGTTGTTTTTCTCAACATTCCATCGTTGCTTTAGAAACTATTCAATCTGTCGTAATTGTCTGTAGCTTTTTTTATAAACTCTTTGCATCTCTTTTTTATTGAACTCATCAGATTTCGCCCTGTCATTTAGACGCCGCAAGTCACTGTTCAGAGTTGCGTCTTCTGGACGCATCATAAAAACTATGATCTTGGGTCCAAATCCCAGCACACACATCACTTAGGGAAGCCGATACTCTGTGAATTAACTGAAATATTGTTCAAATCGGCGGTACATCAAACTCACCTACTCGCTCAACCGATGAATTCGCTGTGCATAGTGGCGTCTGGCCGTGCCAGAAACCTATGATCGTGGGTTCGAATTTCCGGTTCATCCTGTTAATGTTTTTATTTTGGACCTAAATCACTTCCTGCTTTACTCCCACATCAAGCCTACACGCCGTGACATTACGTAAATACTGTTCAAAGCGGCTATACAAAATATTCACTCACTCACTTAGGATATCCCTTTTTGACGTTGTCGTAAGAGGCGACTAACGGGATCGGGTGGTCAGGCTCGCTGACTTGGTTGATGCATGTCATCGATCCCAATTGCATGGATCGATGCTCATGAAATTAATCATTGGATCCAGATTCGATTATTTACAGACCGATTACAGAGCCTCCTCTAAATTAAGAGCGTATTTTACAATAATGAGGTTGCTTTAATTTATTTGAATCCTATTCGTAATACATCAAACTTTAGCTAAGCTCCCTCTGTACGGACAAATGCTTGCGTTATTGTTGTGATTGAGTTCGATCCCTGGGCGAAGTCCTCATTGATGAAAGATCATGTTTTGTATAAAAATTATGAAAATACGCAGTTATTGTAACTAATGATAGCCCGACAATGTGACGTGATAATTTTGATTAAAAGTCGCATTGTCGCGTTGTAGCGCTTTATCAAAATATTGAAAATAAAAAATACTACAAGCGCGACAATGTTACAAAACGTTTTCAAATGTGCTCTTTTGTATCGAAAGAATGATATAATTTGATTCGCTGAATGTGGCCTGGCTCTTAAAGGGCACGTTCACGCGAAAATACTTTCATACTTTTTAGTTTACACTGTTTCATGCTGATTGGCTGAATGGGTAGTCACGTGATTTGGAGTTGCCACACCTGTGAACGGACAGACAAGTTCACACGATTGGAACATTTTGTATGAAATTGATCGTGTAAACTTTTGCTGGAACTACTTTCTGGTTTTCTCCGAATTATCGATCGGTGCTTACAATCAACTCGTTTTTCTATTTTCTTTTTAATCCCTACATTTATCAGCAAGATAATTAATTTAATATTTTTGCCTGGTCTTGTAACATTTCATCTGATATTTGATTTCATCTATGTTTGATGTCATCTAGCTGCCACATGAAACAAAATGGATTGTCCTTATGGTAACTTGAATTGGATATGGAATGGCCATCTTTCACTACTAATAACGAAATGAATACTGTACAATTACTAAGGTGAACGAAATTTGTTTTTGAGCGATACTAACTTTGATGCCTTGTTTTCGGAAATAAGAGGAATCTAGCACCAAGACAATTGCGAATGAACACAATGTTGTACCCTGTTCAGATGTGGCCGCCGACACTGATCAAAGCGACTGCTCCTGATCAATCCCAAACTAAAACTCGATTCACAATCGTATCAGAAAAAACGTAAATTTCGTGAAAGTGACATTTCCCTCTCTAGCATGTTCTGCACGTGCAGAAAGACGGTATAAAACGGCTGATCAGACACGTTGATATCACAGCAACAAAAAGAACACAAGATATGCCACGTTTGACAACCATCGAGAGAGAGAGGGCCGTTGGAATGGTCCAACAAGGAGCGTCACACGTCGACGTCGCCAGAAAGTTGGGCTGCGCACGCATCACTATCACCAGGTTGATGCAGCGGTTACGTCAGACAGGTCAGACAAGCCCAGGAGTGGAAGACCACGAGTAACCACGCCCCGTGAAGATCGTTACATCCGGGTATTACACCTGAGGAACCGCACCGTAACAGCGACGTCCACGGCGGCTACAGCACTGGGCCACAGGATCAGTCGACAGGCCGTCTACAGGAGACTACGGCAGTATGGTATCCGGCCACGTCATCCCTACCGCGGACCGCTCCTGACGCCTCGACACCGGAACAACAGACTGATCTGGGCCAGGCGAGTTCGACGTTGGCAACGGCGGGACTGGGCACGTGTTATGTTCTCTGATGAGAGCAGATTCCTCATCTTCAGAAACGATGGACGGCAGCTTGTATACCGACGATTTGGTGAACGTTTGGCGCCTAACTGTATCCAACAGGTCCGGCCGTTTGGAGGTGGAGGGTTAATGGTTTGGGGTGGCATATGTGGTGACGTCAAAACGATGCTTGTCGTAATTCGTGGAAACCTGAATGCACAGCGTTATCTTGATGACATCCTACGGCCTGTTGTTGTGCCCTTTATTCAGCAACAGCCTCGTGGACTCCTTTTCCAACATGACAATGCAAGGCCACACACAGCAAGATTGACACAGAACTTCCTTGCCAACGCCAACGTACAGGTTTTGCCATGGCCCGCATGTTCACCGGACATGAATCCCATCGAGCACTTATGGGACCACCTCGATCGGCAAATCCGACGTCGCCGTGTGCCTCCAGTCAACGTCCAGGACTTGGAACGATGTCTCCTCGAGGAATGGCAACGCATCACTCCCAACGTCATCAGACGTTTGACGTCATCAGTCCGTAGGCGTGTTCTGGCATGTATTGATGCTCACGGTGGACATACCCGCTACTGACTTGACTTTGAGACGTGTGGTGTGACATTTCCCGTTGTTTCTGTGATCAGTGCTCTAACGAAATGTTCATTTTTCGACCCCACCCCTCTTTAAAGACTTGTCATATTGGTTGTACAGATTTTATTGAAATGAAATTTTTGTACAGATGTTGTGAAAGGATTTCTCAAAAGCATAACACCAATCCTAAACTTCTGCATTGTTTAGTTTTTCTTTTAAGTCGTTGCAAACAGGTGGTATCGTTTCTTTTGGACACTAGTTTATTTAAAGAAACGTTATTTCTCAGCTTAACTGGGTACGACTTGGGAAACGTATGTAACCAACAGCCTATTAGTTTCAGAGGCAAAACAATACACATATCACAAGTATCTAATTTATTTCATTCCTTAAATCGGCTCATATTTTCTACATTTGTTATTTTTAAATTATGGCTTCATAATGGAGGATAAACAGTTTCCCTGCAAGTTTGCAATGATATTTTCTTTGAATGGTTGTCAAAACAAACCAATAACCAATTATCTATTGAATAGATATAGGCCTAAAGCAATAATTGTTTTCAAACATTGAACACATCAATTAGAGTGATCTATCGTTTCATTTTCAAATGGAGACGGTTTTGTTCGGCGGGTACTGGTGCTTGTGTGAAATACAACATCCAGTTACTCATCAATAAAATATGGCAGTTATTTTGTATTAGGATGGGAAGAAAACCAAAGAGAATATTTTACCCCCAGTACGTTTCAACTCGGCAACCGACTTGAGAAACTACAGGGACGTACCCCACCGTTGTGTTACTCTCAAGGCGTGGTAAATTTTCTTAGTATTACGTATCCGCTTTTGAAAATGTAATAATGAGCATGAAGGTAAGTTAGGTATACACACATCAAAGTGTTATTGGTGGTTGTGGAGATGTCTAGTCTAGGTCGGGTGACACATCAGGTGATGTGTATTTTCTCGAGGTTTACACTTGATTTTCATCGTTTCCATGCTTGTGTTCGTTCATAAGTGTATGATTTTGCGATTTCTTGATGGGTGAAGGGAACTTCTGACTTGTCTGATCATAAACTGGTACTTGATATTGTAATGAGAATACATTATATATATATATTTACTTTTCATGAATGATATATTAAATATAGTTTTGTTAGCTTTTATAAAATGTATATCCATACTTTTTTTATATATACTGAAGAACAAAAGTTCCTGTGACATTGAATAAGATTTAATGCAAAATTATGTTTTTTACCAAATCTGAAACAATTTCTGTTTGCAACAGATAAACGACTCTTGTAAATGTTCAAATGGTTTAATTTGCCATACTGACTTCAGAAAATGCGTGATTTCATAAAAAAACAAACCATGAACATGCCAAAATGTCAATTTACAAATCAATAGCGTGTGTGTCCGCCTGTTGTTGCGATGCAAGCAACACATCTTCGTCTCATGGAATGGACCAGGCGTGCACAATGTCCTGTGGGATATCTGTCCATATCTGCTTGAGCTTATTTCGAAGTTCCTGGAATGTCTGAGGAACACGTGGTTTACGTCGAAGGCGCCGAACCATCTCATGCCACATGTGCTCGATTGGTGGGAGATCAGGGGAGCGAGCCGGCCAGAGGATGACATTCACGTTGTTTTGTTGACGAGAATCCTGAACAAGTCGAGCAATATGAGGCCGGGCGTTGTCATGTTGAAAGGTAATCCCTGGGCCATGACGACACAAAAACGGTAGAACAAGTGGGCCGATGATCTCGTCGCGGTAGCGCTGTCCATTGAGATTTCCCTCTACCTCTATCAAACGGGTACCCTGTCTTGCAGTAATCCATGCATGGAATGCATGCTTTTCTGTAGCAGTTGCGTTTTTGGGACTTGATTCCATACATGTACTACACTATTGAAAACCAAGCTTTACTTGTTTGAAAAATACACTAAAATATTGGTGTCACAGGAACTTTTGTTGTTGAGTATATTATGTTGCTTGTGTAGACTTTTTCCAGTGATGAACACTGACCAATAACACACCTTCACATTGTCTATATGTAAGCCCGGGTGTACTCACAACCAAGTAAAGCCTGATGTTACGCAATTGCAGCTTGGCTATTTCTCTTAAAGCCAGATGAAGACAAAGTGGTCAGTTCCAAGTTCAGGATTAGGTGTAAACTGACGTGCCATGTCGGCGAGATTTGAAACTTTAATTGTATACGCCAAGTCGGCAATGTGTAAAGTATGGAAAATAATGGATTATGTGAAAATTTTGTATGCGGATGGGAAGAAAATCAAAGAGAATATCCCCCAACCCCCCATAAGTACGTCGGCAAGATGGATTATGTGAAACATTCACTGGATCTTGTTGGGAAATGAAGGAACAATAAAGCATAAAGAAAGCCTGATTTTATTGTGATTGATACTTCCTATTGCTGTTTGTGTATAAGATGAAGTTTGATTAGACTGCCAGTATTAAATTGTTTTCAAATTGTGGTTTGGTCTCTCCCTGTGATGTGAGACTGTACAGTGGATCCACTCGTAACGATATCTTTTGCGTTGTGACAAGACAGGGGCCCAGTTAAATTATCACCAATTATGTCATAATCTAAGGGAGATAACTCAGGTCTATTTAGCTCAGAAATCCGCTAAGACAAATGTGCGGTTCGTGCACAATAAGTGTGGATTCAATAGCAGTTAATTTAAACGGTTTAGATGACGCTATGTACACAAACCTTTCACACAAACCTTTGTATTCTATATTTACAGATGTGGAAAGGAACGACTATATGCCAGGTAAGCGTAGAATCCATGTATTGACGATCACAGTCTTGTTATACTATTTCACATTGACAAGAGTAGAAGGCAATTCAACTAGTCAAGTCAAGATTAAGGAAGAGAATTTATGGAGGAATCATGAGGAACACAGCGTTTGGTAATGTTTACTCCTTCATCAGGTGAATGAATGGTATGAGGCAGTGAGTGAGTTGGGTTTAACGCCGCTTTTAACATTATTCCAGTTTATCACGGCGTGTGAGCTTAATGTGGGAGGAAAGCCCGAGGTGATGCAGGTCGTTTACCACTTCGCTGAAACCCACGAGCACGGGTATGGTGCTGACTAACCTAGAAACATATTTGGGGCGAACCGGGATTCGAACCTACAATCATAGGTTTCTGGCGTGTTCAAGGGACGCAACTCTGGATAGCGAATCGCGGCGCCTTAGACGACTGGGCCACCCGTGCTCCCGGTATGAGGCAGAGTGCATATATATATATGTGTGTGTGTGTGTGTGTGTGTGTGTGTGTGTGTGTGTGTGTACATGTAAGAACAACTCAAGTAAAAAGACAACAAAAGGTGGAAACTTAACAAGGGAAATCAAATGATAATTGGAGCTGAAGGCGATTAGAAATAAACAATGAAAGCCAACACTTAAAAGTAATTAGCGCTGATAGTTTATGGACAGCTGGAAGCCAGGACTAAATTAACACTGATAGGTAAATGGCAATGGACAATGGGGAAACGGGAGGCCGGGGGTAATTAGCACTGATAGGTAAAGGAAATGGAATAAGCAATGGAAGCCAGCTAGATAATAGGCACTGACAAAAATCCAAGCAATCAGTCCCAAGCACTAGGCACATATGATCCCTGGTCACGGTTCATGATGTCAATGTTTTTATTCATTTTTCTCTGTCGCCAGTTGTTGTTAGTGGTACACAGGACTTTGGTGGCTTCCAACATGATGTTACGGTTCTGGTTCTGAGGATGTGTTCGGAAATAGCGGATTTCAGGTCTAGTTGAGGGGTCTGAGGGTTTTTCCAATGTACTGGTGGCCACAGTTGCAGGGGGTCTGGTGTATACATCTTCGGGGGTTGGGACTGACACTGCTTGTGCCTCTGCCATTATGCATAGCTAAATGTTAAGTTAACACATACAGGCATAGATATGCTCAGTGAGAATGCGTAGATGGGTTTGGAAGTCACTGAAATGTATTGTTATCCCCTAGCGGCTACTTGTTTAACTAAAGTCGTTGATGAATTTGTGCTCAAATCAACTTAACATGTATTCCCACGGGACGATAGTGACTTCGGAACCCATTTTTATTAGAAGAGGTATATTTCAGTGCGATTCTTTCAGTCCTTTGCGTTTGTCACAAAATAAGCTTTTTGCTTAGCCAAGAGGAATTTTGCCTCCTTTGCACAGACCCCTAACACCCCCTACTTACCTCATTTCAATGGATGGCCTTGAAATTCCTGCCAAAGGAGAATCCGCTCTTAATCACTTGCAATAAAGACAAAGCGACATGTATAGATGGTGTGTGAGTACATACAGGTATTCAAATGTATATCATTACCTTTCTTTAAACAATTTGACTGATGTGTTGACATACTTGGTCAAGTCCATAAGGATATGCCTATATTCTGTACACATAAGTGTCATATATTTTTCAATCTAATGTTAACGCAATGCCTAAATGAATGGAACAATAGATGATAAACCTCAATGCATTCGTCTGCCCATCGCCATCTTTTGAGTGATGATGCAGAAGTCGAAGGTATATGAAGAAATGATGATTTCATATCTAAAAATCATACTTGTCTCCTCAGTGAGCAACGAAGGAATATTGCACGTGTCCCGAGATGTCAGAGGTGAGATAAACAATACAAACACAGCTTTATGATGGATATTATATTAAGCCTCAAAGGGAGATTGGGGTAGGTGTTGTTTGTTAAGGGTAAAACATTTTAATGACGTTATATGACCATACGGGGACATGGGTGTCCCAGTCGTTTAACACGACAGACACAAATGACTATCCAAAGGCGTCTATTCTTCGTGACAGTGACAGGTCGCATCACATATTTGCCTGATCACATTGCTTTGGTAAACAACCAGGATCTGCATGGGCTTGCTCCCACATTGAGTTCAAACGCCACGATGTAACTGAAATAATGCTCCAAGAAGCATTAAAAAAAAACATGCATAGTCACTATGAAATCGCGAATTCCTTGTTGACTCCTTCTTTGTAACATAGTTTGATATCACATGACGCATGGACAATATTATATCTTATCTTATCCTTATTTCAACACAGGGTTACTCAAACGGCCAATTGCTAGCACACTACTCCATAAGGCCAGTGGTGAAGGGAATCTGGACCTCGCGAAAGAGATCCTGAATGGTGGTTTATTAAATGTCAACACCCGAGGGTCGTATGGATTGACACCATTGATGTGGGCTGCATTGAATGGGCACTACTATGTCTTTGAATATCTCAAACAAGAAGGAGGTGATATGACACTAAAGGATAGTGACGGCGATAGCATTCTTAGCATGGCCTGTGTGGGGGGAAATATGGACATAGTAAAGTATGTATTCTTACGCGAACCTACCCTTATAAACAGACAGAGAAGCGACGGAAGAACTGCGTTGATGTGGGCTGCATCGCGTGGGAACACAACCGTGTTTGAGTATCTGTTGGATAGAAAAGCAACTCCTTCATTAGATGATAATGATGGAAACAATATCCTTCATTATGCCTGTTATGGAGGACACATTGACATTGTGAAATGTGTCATCGATCAGACAACACTTAATATCAACACTAGCGACTTACTTGGAAGAACAGCATTAATGATAGCAGCTACGTACGGACATAAAGAAGTGTTTGACTTACTTGTTGGGAAAGACAGTGACGACATATCACACAAAGATAAGGAAGGAAACAATATACTCCATGCAGCATGCCGTGGAGGACATGTGGAGATGGTGAAGCACATCCTGTCACAGGGCCTGGTGGACATCAACAGCCAAGGACAGGAAGGGAAGACACCGCTGTTGTTGGCAGTACATTGGGAACAAGGAGCAGTGTTTAACTTACTTGTGAGCAGAAAAGCTGATCTATTACAAGTGGATTATAACGGAAACAACATCCTTCATCTGGCCTGCGAAATAGGAAGCATGGAGATTGTGAAGTATGTTATGTCACAGAAGAGTCTTGACATTAAAGCAAGAAACATACAAGGTGAAACAGCTTCCATGGTGGCAAAACGCAAGCACCACATGGATTTGTATAACTTCCTCGTGTCAAAAGAAGGTTAAGTATGGCGAATTACATAACACGCCCACGAAAGTCCAGAACATGTTATTAGTGATGTGGGTATGAATAAATATGGATGAAACTTGATGTGTTATTCAAAACAGTAAAGACAACACAGCGAAAAGATTAGCTCCTCATTATGACAATGAAGAATCTTTTTGATTTTGGGTACGCCAGAAACATTTGATCGTGTGTCCGAATCCCCGTTCGCTCCAGTTCTATTCCTAGGTTGGTCAGCACATTCTTGTGCTCGAGGATTTCACCTGAGACATGTGTCATAGCGACCGATTTGGGACAACCTTTGTCTGAAATGAACAATCAATTCCAAAGGTTCATTACATTACCCTGTATAGTCCGTCAACCTAACTTTTGGACACCGTTTTTCTCAATTTAATTCTAATTAGTTCAAATTCATGTAATAATATGTAAACACATCGAAATATTTCCCTGAGCTTTAATAGAAACCAATGTTTAAAACTTTTTCAACACTTGTGAAAAAGATGCAGGGTAGAATGGGTCTTCAGCAAACCATGCTTGCAATAAAAGGCGACTGTGCTTGTCGTAAAAGCCGACTAACGGGATCGGGTGATCAGGCTCGCTGACTTGGTTGGTTGATGCATGTAATCGATCCAAATTGCGTGTGAAACGTCATCGGAAGTTTGACATCTTTGCTTGTACATGTTTCACTAATACTCCAACTTGAGGTACGATTGTGTAAGGTGTCCATCTGTAAATAAGCACATTTTTGGAATTTTATGTTTACTGTCTGGTGCTGACACTCGTTGGAAACAACTGTTTCTCAGTGTCGATCTCGCATGCAATTTTCTCATACCAAGCACTGACAACACGCAGGCTTAATACATGTCTGATCTTATTTTTCATATCCTTCTACTTCTATTTCGTGTATGTAATAATATCGCTTACATGTGCACGTGTCTGTGACAATCTCACAGGGTGACTCTTCAGTGTTGTTGTTTCTTACTTACTTACTTTACTTACTTTTGAGATTTAACGTGCGCTTTCCGACTGATGCGTATTTCGCACACGGGCCCGGCCAGGCCATTTAATGTGTTTCCGAAAGGGGCGAAAGTGGATGTTGTTTCTTTAGTTAGTTCGTATTTATACCTTTTTATAGTTATTTTGGTTTGTGTCAACATTATAATAATATCGCCTGAGGTACCTGTCTTGCTAAACAGTCCTTTGTTACAGTATGTAGTGTCTATTGTTATTAGGACTTGTGTGGGCATCGTTTACTGCAATACATGAACGCTGAGTCGCATTTACATCTTTACATGTTTGTCAACTGTGTGTTGTGTAATGTTTGATTATAGATGTGTTGAAATTTGGAATTATCTTTGATTTCAGTTTTGAGCACACCAACAGAGATCGTATAAAATATTGATTATATCTAATATTTATATTTTGTTATCACGATTGTTCATATGTGTTAGGTTACACAGTTTGCTTCAAAGGTATTGCGTTTTTTTAAGAATTATGAGAAAGGACATATTTGCCTTGTAATTGTAGATTCTTTCATGCAACTTACTACACAGTTGTAACTTATTTATAACTTGCTTCTCGTTACTTAGAACTTTGAATAAAACAAGACATTACAGCAGTGTTATGAGTCTTTTTCTACTTCAGTACTTTAATACATTTCTTTATATGAAATAAGCTTCACACGGTCTACCCATGAGGAAATTCGAACCATTTCTTCTGATGAGCCTTGCTGTATATATACTTAATAGAGGAACTCAGATTATTCACAGGTTTTGTTTCTCCAAGACCACCTCCGTGGTCTAGTGGTTAGATCGTCTTCCAGAAGAGCGGAAGGTTGTGGTTTCGATCCCGGCTTCATCATACCCAAACATTCTACTTGCTGTCTCCCTGTCTGGCGATCGATCGGCATTAAGGGATGAAGCAGGGACCGGTCGGCTCGGAATCCGTATACTGTGTCTGTGTTGGGTATCCATGTTAAACTGCTGCATGGTATCTCAGTGGGTTTATACTGTAAAAACGCATAAGTCCGGACTAGTACAAGCAGCTGCACACACACACACGCACGCACGCACGCACGCACGCACGCACGCAGGCACGCACGCACACATGTACACCCACACATACGCATAAGCAAACGTGCATGTACGTCGTTATATAAATGAAATATTATTAAACGCAACGGTATACACAATTTCACCAAACCACTTTTGGTTTCTCAGTATTCAGTATTGTGGTGATCAGATAACAGGTCAAAGCGCCAAAATACAGCTCGACGAACCACACACTGACGGGCTGCACGTAAGTCCCTGCTTCGACATAAAGGACAGCGAAGTTGTGGGGTTGTAAGACCCGCGTTGAGAGTAGAGGAGTAACATAATACCAAGATCGCGGAGAGATACCGGATCACCGAGGGACTTATATCACTAACCATGGAGGATTGTCTTAGAACCTGTGTGGAACAATCTATTTTGTATTTATTCTTATGCGATTGCCTTGTTTGTTGCCGCTATTCTCTCGTCACGCATATGCAATGGCATCATGTGAATGTCACCAAGCAAATGGCTTTTAAGCTACTGTGTTATCCTGAAGAGATCATGGTCCTGCTGCCCCCTTGTATATTTTTGCTTATGTACATTATATGTTAACCTCCCTCGGGGTTTTAGTCAGTAACTAGTAAACGACTTGTGCTTTTATTGTTTATGAAACATTCTTATCTATGTCAAGGTGACTAACGGGATCACTGACTTGGTTGATGCATGTCATCGTATCCTACTACCGTAGATTGATGCTCATGATGTCAAGCACTGGAACGTCCGGTCCCACTCGATTATGTACAAGCCGACGTCAAAGAGCTGGTATATATCTGAGTGCGGCGTTAAAGAACAAACAAACAGAGCACAACAATCAACAATTGTCGATGTAAAGGTTGTAGAACCGAAGGCCGAGGTCGTAATACACCCTGCGAGTCACATCCTGTTCACGTCAAACATGATGCGGCCATACTATCATTGTGGTCCCCCAATCCTTAAGTCAGTCCGTTCTTGTTACAGGAGCAAATCTCGTGGTCGTTGTTTGTCGCATAATAAAACACTGCGGTTAGTTTCTTAAATAGACGTTGCACTTCCTCTCACATTAGGTTGATATGCCCTGATATAACTGAAGTACTGTCAAATCTATATTATCCATTTCTAAATCACATATTGTAAGGCAAGCCGGGAACAGTTTCTCTTAGACACTGCTCGCCAAGAGTGGTGGAATTGAGACTACTCCGTCAGGTTCGAGTACCCAACACAGGCCGCTCACTGTACATTAACAGCTCACATGCGAGATTCAGGTAACGCCAGTCACTGTCACAGTGTTATGGGTGCAAAAGTGCTTAGTTAGGACGGTGCAAGGGAGACTACTTCTTCACGCACACTACACCTCCCCTACTGTTCCAAATGCTGCCTCACCCATGGTTCACGTTCATGACAATTTCGTTACGGTCATTGCTTGAATGCGACTAGCAAGGAAGATTAAATAGAGTTGGTGATAATATTGAACAATTTATTTCAAACGACTACCGAGCGTCAAATGTCACAAGAAGGGAATGCTGTGCATTGTATTCAGCCTCGTTGTAAATACATTCGTTCATGTGCCGACAGTGTGCTAAGTGACACTTATTGACAGTCAATACAATGTTCATGTACTTATTCCCGACTCGAGGACAGTGTGGTCAGTGACGCTCAGTGACAGTCAATACATAGATCATGTGCCGACACTAGAGTCGAGGACAGTGTGGTCAGTGACACTCAGTGACAGTCAATACATAGATCATGTGCCGACACTAGACTCGAGGAGAGTGTGGTCAGTGACACTCAGTGACAGTCAATACACAGATCATGTGCCGACACTAGACTCGAGGACAGTGTGGTCAGTGACACTCAGTGACAGGCAATACATAGATCATGTGCCGACACTAGACTCGAGGAGAGTGTGGTCAGTGACACTCAGTGACAGTCAATACAAAGATCACGGGCCGACACCAGACTCGAGGACAGTTTGGTCAGTGACACTCAGTGACAGTCAATACACAGATCATGTGCCGACACTAGACTCGAGGAGAGTGTGGTCAGTGACACTCAGTGACAGTCAATACAAAGATCACGTGCCGACACTAGACTCGAGGAGAGTTTGGTCAGTGACACTCAGTGACAGTCAATACACGGATCATGTGCCGACACTAGACTCGAGGAGAGTGTGGTCAGTGACACTCAGTGACAGTCAATACAAAGATCACGTGCCAACACTAGACTCGAGGAGAGTTTGGTCAGTGACGCTCAGTGACAGTCAATACACAGATCATGTGCCGACACTAGACTCGAGGAGAGTCTGGTCAGTGACACTCAGTGACAGTCAATAAAAAGAGCATGTGCCAACACTAGACTCGAGGAGAGTGTGGTCAGTGACACTCAGTGACAGTCAATACATAGATCATGTGCTGACACTAGACTCGAAGAGTGTGTGGTCAGTGACAGTGACAGTCAATACACAGATCACGTGTCGACACTAGACTCGAGAACAGTGGGGTCAGTGTCATTTGGTGACACTTAAAACCTTTTGGTGCCACGGGACCATATATGGTCCCTTGAAAATGTCCCCTTTAAACTGTTAATTGAGATGTCAAACACTGAGGGTGTAAAATCAAAATCATAACCAACATCACCAAAATCATCTCAGATTTAGCATCGTGTAACAGTGCTACGGATTACGAAATATGGTGGGATTCGTGAAGTGGTTACCGCGCTTCTCGACCTTTTCCTTCAATGCTGAATTTCATGCGAATGAGGGCGATTTTGTATTTTGCACCCATGTCAAATACACGTAACCATTAAAACATCAGACAGCCAATTTGAAAAAGAAATTTATCAGAAAGGTTTACTTGTCCCAGCTGGACAGTTATTGACGTAAAACAACTAACAAGCGTTTTGTTCAAGTATAACAGTGAAGGACGAGTGATGTTTATATATAGTGTTTACGCATACATCTAGAAGCTAAGGTGTTAAATTTCCATTCAAGAAAAATCCATGTGACACACACACGCTAGCATACCATCAGCTGTGCTGTGGTCTTTACTAAGGCTATTTTACCTGTACATGTCCTTCTCGGGAACAAATACCCTTATCTTAGCCGGAAATGTTGATGAATTGATTTTGTTTATTGCGACGAGATATTATTTCATTACTTCAGAACGATTAAGTGAGGGAGATTCATATTGGTAAGATTGGTGATATTAGGCTAAAAACCAATCAATGTGTTTTGTTATGAAAACACTTATAAACATAAAAAACAACATCCTCAATGATTCATAATGAAACACTATTGATAACAAGGCCATGTTGCACTAAAATGTGTCTTAGCCAGATGATGATATTGTTATTCATGATCGTGAATTAATTATACCTTTGGCAATATTCCAGCACAAATTCTACTCGCATGTAGAAATAAATCGACATGAGTCTTTGGCATGACGAACGCATTAAGTAGTAGGTGAACCCACCGCACCTGCCCACGTACATGTTGTGGACATCTTTTGGCTTTACGGAAGTATATGTCAATGTGGGTTGACTATGGTATCTTTTGAAATAATTAATTAATGTCCGTGTAAGAATATTTATGGTGAAACCGGATTATTGCTAGGTCAAAGCTGATTGCCTAATTGAACGTGTAAGCGGCCAACATTTGAAACTAAACGTGTTTGTTGTGGAAAAAAGAACCTGGAATGTCGATTGGAATGTACAAATGTGTATAAGCTAAAGCAGAACATACGAACAAACGTCATGGCAAAATTACGTCGTGGTCTAATGAATATTCATGAGTTAATCATTTCCTCGAAAGGAATAAGGTTATACGCTTGTCTGTCACATGTTCGAGTTTGTTTCCTGTTCATATGGCCAAGGGGCGGTGGGGTAGCTAGTGGTTAAAGCGTTCGCCCGTCACGCTGAAGGCCCGTGTTCGATTCCCCACATGAATAACATGTGTAAAGACCATTTCTGGTATCCCCCGATATTGATTTAATAATAATATAACCTGCATAAAAGTAGACTCACTCACTCACTTATATGGCACACGACTTTATAGTGATAATTGTGTTTTATATTGAGAAAACAGTTGTGTGTGTGCCTTTCTAAATTGATATTGAATTAAGTTACTCACTTTGTACCAATTTCTGTTATTGAGTGATCAATGGTGACGCTATTAAAACTTCGTAGGCGTTATGTGTGCCCATTTACGTCATATTAAGTAATGTTTACACATTTCCTATCAATATAGTACAATTAGAATAATTTTTGTTGCCATAGATCCATGCAAAAATACCACACATGTGGGCTCCACCACGTCATACTATTGTCGCTTAGCGATTGCAAGTGAGGGCCGTCAATGTTTCAGTCACTATATATGACGAAAGAAAAATGACCAATATTTTAGAAAATGGTTTTCAGTAATCCAATGAAGCTTCGTGATGCATAAATGTGGACCCTCCAGTTGCAAACACTAAGTCATCGAAAAGGTGGGCCCACATTTAGAATTTGATTATCAACACAATAAAGTGTGGCGATATACTAATGACGGCCATGTCAAAAACATATATCACCATATATGACGAAAAAATGTGAGTCCAAAGTTTATAAGTTTTGATTATTAGCACTAATGCTTCGAATGACAACTAAATATAGATAGTATGCACAGTTTGATCCGAAATATATATAATACATGTTAAAAGCACTTCGACATCAATACATAGGACTGTACGTTGACAAGATAAGGCAGACACATACATTGTTTCTTGTACACTTTTGACTCTGAACGTCTTTTCTTCTATCATTTAATGAGAGAACATTTTCCCGAACACAAGGCGCGTGGCATCATTATATTTCGCCTAACAATGTCTTGAAGTGTGTGTTCCATGACTCATGACTTATTAATGTCCCCAATTCAGCCCGCAGCCTTGAACATTGAAAGGGTATTCAAGTTTATAACGTATTGAAAGTGTTCGTATATAAACGTATTAAATTTTAGGTTTTGATGAGCTCTTACTCATGAACAGTGAATGTGCAACAAAGCTACAGTTACAGTTCAACACATTTATCCCAGATAGAAGCTTTCGGTTGTCAACAAATGCACTGAATATTGAGATTTGTTTATCACGCAACAAGAAGAATGGTGTGAGTTGCAGGGATTACATTTTTTGTTTGTTTGTTTGTTGTTTATCGCCTCATTCAGCACTATTCCAGTATATGACGGCGGTCTGATAATAATCGATTTGGACCAGACAATACAGTGATTTATAACATAAGCATCGATCCACGAAATTGGGATACAATGACATGCTTCAACCAAGTCACCGAGCCTCTTACGACAAGCGTGGGTTTCTGAAGACACATTATATCCCGGCTCTTCACGGGTCGCAGGGATTACTAAAGCGTTGAATAACGATGCCATAGTAATGTACACTGGAATTAATTGACAGCTGAAAGCGTGTTACAGAGAAAAGATTGTGGCGCACAATGGAGACCGCTCACCTCATGATATCAATCCTTTAAAAACGAATAGTTTTCTGTACATGTGAAGAGTGTGAATACTTCACGTTTGCATTTTAGGTGTCACGTTTGGGTGTAGCTGTTCATCATTTATGGATTATTGACTGTCACTGACCACACTGTCCTCGAGTCTACTGTCGCAACATGATCTATGTATTGACGGACAGTGTCTGTCACTGTGTGTCACTGACCACACTGTCCTCGAGTCTACTGTTGGCACATGATCTCTGTACTGACTGTCAATGTGTCACTGACCACACTCTCCTCGAGTCTAGCGTCGGCACGTGCTCTATGTATTGACTGTCATTGTGTCACTGACCACACTGTCCTCGAGTCTACTGTCGCAACATGATCTATGTATTGACGGACAGTGACTCTCACTGTGTGTCACTGACCACACTGTCCTCGAGTCTACTGTTGGCACATGATCTCTGTATTGACTGTCAAGGTGTCACTGACCACACTGTCCTCGAGTCTAGCGTCGGCACGTGCTCTATGTATTGACTGTCATTGTGTCACTGACCACACTGTCCTCGAGTCTACTGTTGGCACATGATCTCTGTATTGACTGTCAATGTGTCACTGACCACACTCTCCTCGAGTCTAGCGTCGGCACGTGCTCTATGTATTGACTGTCATTGTGTCACTGACCACACTGTCCTCGAGTCTACTGTCGCAACATGATCTATGTATTGACGGACAGTGACTCTCACTGTGTGTCACTGACCACACTGTCCTCGAGTCTACTGTTGGCACATGATCTCTGTATTGACTGTCAATGTGTCACTGACCACACTGTCCTCGAGTCTAGCGTCGGCACGTGCTCTATGTATTGACTGTCATTGTGTCACTGACCACACTGTCCTCGAGTCTACTGTTGGCACATGATCTATGTATTGACTGTCAATGTGTCACTGACCACACTCTCCTCGAGTCTAGCGTCGGCACGTGCTCTATGTATTGACTGTCATTGTGTCACTGACCACACTGTCCTCGAGTCTACTGTCGCAACATGATCTATGTATTGACGGACAGTGACTCTCACTGTGTGTCACTGACCACACTGTCCTCGAGTCTACTGTTGGCACATGATCTCTGTATTGACTGTCAATGTGTCACTGACCACACTCTCCTCGAGTCTAGCGTCGGCACGTGCTCTATGTACTGACTGTCAATGTGTCACTGACCACACTATCCTCGAGTCTAGCGTCGGCACATGATCTATGTATTGACTGTCAATGTGTCACTGACCACACTGTCCTCGAGTCTAGCGTCAGCACATGATCTATGTATTGACTGTCAATGTGTCACTGACCACACTGTCCTCGAGTCTAGCGTCGGCACATGATCTATATATTGACTGTCAATGTGTCACTGACCACACTCTCCTCGAGTCTAGCGTCGGCACATGATCTATGTACTGACTGTCAATGTGTCACTGACCCGATCTCCTCGAGCCTAGCGTCGGCACATGATCTATGTATTGACTGTCAATGTGTCACTGACCACACTGTCCTCGAGTCTAGCGTCGGCACATGATCTATGTATTGACTGTCAATGTGTCACTGACCACACTGTCCTCGAGTCTAGCGTCGGCACATGATCTATGTATTGACTGTCAATGTGTCACTGACCACACTCTCCACGAGATAAGTTTATAAAACCGCAATTGTCTAATCACATACTCTGCCATTTAAATTCTGTGAGGAAATGTACTATCACTCCCGAAGACATCTCATCCAATATATTGTCACTAGGTTTATCACTTTTTTTAAGCCCGATGTGTCGAAGTGGATGTATTGAACACCCAGTTTTCTCGAACTTAAGTCATAGTCTAAAGAGAATATGTAAATTTTTAGCATGATAAATCGTACTCATTTTTTTAAAACAGCATAGTGCGTGTTTTTTTATCAATACGGTAGGGTGTGAAACATGAAAGACGCGAAACCATTGATTGCCTTGATTTAAGGTTGACATGATCAAGTTACTTGATATGTTCTTAATATAAGATAAGTCTGTAGCTGGTAATTAGCAACAACTGGGAAGCAGTGATGACTGTATAACTACCGACAATAAGAAGTCACGTGATCGTCATTCATATGCGTGATTTATGGTACATATGAGAGACGAACCAGGATTATGTTGGTTATTCTTTACTTCTAGAATGTGACGCAGTTGTAATTAAATATCTCAGAAATATCACATCATAGTTTTGGCACTTGTTGTTCTATCTATGCTGGGTGATATCATAGGTAGTTTACTCGTAGGTATGAGTAGAGACATGATCTAGGCATTCAATAAAGGAGAAAGGGTGGTGGGTGGTCTTCATTTACGAAACATACATGACATATTGTCGTGTCTGATGGCTGGATCAAACCGTATTAACGGCTAGTCGGATGTATCAAACACTAGCTAAGTTCTCTAGTCCCCCGGATATCGAGACAACGGATTTCGACTCTAATTCATCCTTGATTAAACAACACAACTGACTTTCATTGACTTTTAACAAAACACTTGAAGTGTAGGAATAACTAGTTCTTATAGGAATGTGGCAAAATGCATAAACATAGATAAATGCATTTGAAACAAACTTAACATTCATACATTGATCATGTGATAATTATGCACCCTTCTCTATGCAATACTGATTCTATGTTTTCAGCAATGCCATGTAAAAATGGTCAGCACTGTCGAGGCTGTGACAAGGACGGAGACTGCTCAACACAGTGTGATCGCGGATTCTTTGGCAGGAAATGCAGGTAAGAGTGCAGCAGCAGATGCACAAATCAGTCGTGTGAAATCACAGCCAGAGGCATCAAGAAGTGCACGGAGGGTTGTGTTCCAGGATTCCAGGGTACAACTTGCATCATACCATGTGGCAACCCTGGGACTCAATGTGCAGTGTGTGACGGGGGATGTGATGAAGAATACTGCATGCTGAGTCCTACATCCTGCGTTTCTGGATGTGTTGACTCCTACTATGGCCTTGACTGTAAGAGCTTCTCTGAGAGATGTAAATCATGTAACAGGTCTACAGGAATGTGTGATCGTTGTCGTGATCCATACAGAGGTCTGAACTGTGAGATGTCATGTGAGAACTGTGCAGGATCTTGTGAGTCTGGATGTGAAGGAGGCTGTAAACCTGGCTTCTATGGACCTTGGTGTGATAAGGTGTGCAGTGAAAACTGCCGCTCTGGTCCCGATTCAGATGCAGTTTCTATCTTGGCATGTGACACAAATACCTCCTTCAATTGCATCCCCAAATGTGACAACAACACAGGAGATTGTATCCACGGTTGTAATGTCGGATGGTATGGTACTAACTGCTCATCTCGCTGTAATTCAAAGTGTGCAAATTTGTCCTGCACTGAGTCAGGAGCGTGTGTAGATGGATGTGCACCAGAGTATGCTGGGACTGACTGCTCCTGCTATGAGAACTGCATTGATCATGTTTGTTACGCTGACAGTGGCACCTGTGCAAAAGGATGTATCAACGGTTATTATGGTGCATTCTGTAACAACACCTGTGAGATCTGTCTTGACGGCATTTGTGATCGGAAATTTGGAACCTGCACCAGAGTATGTAATTTTACTGACAGTACATGTAAATCTACCTGTACACATGACTGTACCATAGGTGTTTGTCTTGCAGGTAATTCTTGTGAAGGTATGTACTTAAATATTAACATAATTTTGCACGTGTAAGAATATATATTCCTCAAAAAAGAAACACAAAGCCAGATTTGAGTGAGGTAGAAAAATACATTTATTCATGGAACCGTACAAGGTATTGAGCCAAAATGTTGTGGAGAGAACACGTGGTGATTGTAGTCATCTCAGTTATCGGTGCATAGGAAAAGTCCAAGGTCAAGGACAGCTGCCATCCATAACGCGTATGTCCTCCGTTGGAATCGATAGCGGCCTGACATGTCCTGCCCATGGAAGTATGCGAATAACATCCTGGGAAATGGTAGCCCACTCGGCATGCAAGATAACAGCCAACTGCTGCTATGTCTTGGGTTGTGGTTGACGTCGGCGTGGCCGTCTATCCAGGTGCTCTCTCGGGTTCACGTCCGGGGATCTGGAGGGCAAGGGGAGAATATCATTGTTGTTGTGCAGACAGGCTCTTGTGATCCTTGCTGTATGCGGTCGAGCGTTGTCCTGTTGGAATACACCGTTGCCGTTGGCTGCAATTGGGAGGACGTGTGGTAGTAGAATTTCATTGATGTATCGTTGATTGCCCTGGATATGGACCAAACCTGTCCTGCCATGATGATAGATAGATGCGCACATCATAACGCTATCCCCTACAAACCTGTCCACTTCCTGTATGCAGTTTCTGTTCTCCCCGACGTCTGCATACCAGTGCTCTTCCATCCCCTTGACGGAAGAGAAATCCTGATTCGTCGCTGCCCCAGACATCTCTCCATCGCCATACCCCGTGTTGACGACACCAATGCAGTCGCCGTTGACGATGTTGTCGACTTAATATGACGCGTCGAACAGGACGTCTTGCTCGTAGACCCGCTGCTCTTAAACGGGTCCGTACGGTTTGGTCGGAGATGCTGAGAAGTCCGGGTGTTTGGGATGCGTTTGAGGTGGCTGTGGTCGTCCTTTCATGTAGGTGGCGCATTCGGATGTAGCGATCTTCGGCGCGTTTGGTTACTCTTAGTCCAAATATCACTTTTGCGTTTCCTTTTTTAAAGAGTATAAATTGGTCTGGATGGGTTGGGAAACAGTTTTTTAAATATTATTGAGGGGTCAGGCATATGATATGAGATAAACGTCTCAATACCAAATTCCAAAAGTGCAAGTCGCATCTGGAATGAACCACATGATACACACATGGACTAGTACTTTTGATGTATGGCACGGGCACTGGGTAAACAACTGGTTACGTCCTTTCATGTAATGTAAGTAAAATAAAATTCAGAGATTTAATGTAGGACTTTCAGCTAGAATTGGACAGCCCTCAGTCGTGTAATGATTGTAAAACTGTAAGATATTAAAAATATTTCATTTGTCGAGTGAAATATCATGTTTCTCTCATCGAGTGATGGGGCGAAACGAAATGGCGCCACTTTCACGAGTGGCGCCACGAGTTGAGAGAACATGATATTTCACGAGACATATTAAATATCCGTTTTATTGTATACATTTTGTGTAGATTATTTCAGTAAAAACGTAAAACCTTGAAACGTAAATTCTCCCTACCTAACAAACATGGACCCTTGTGTTTTGCGACTTAAAAAGTAGTTTTATGTTTGCAAAATCTTAAACAATATAAACAAAAGTATCAAAAAACTATTAAGGGTCACGAAAATTCTTTATCACACATTTAGATAATATGATTATATACAAAATCAACTTAAAAAAAAAATATTCTTGAAGACTAGGAGACCGCTGTTGGAAGCGAAAGAATACACGCTGGTCAAGCAGCAAAAATGGCGCTTTGCGAAATGAAAGTCTCGATTGACAAGTTAAATGAGAAATTTACAGTTTATAACATAACAATTTCGAGAGAATATCAACCGCCAAGAAGTGATATGAACTCCATACCTGACCATCTGTTATTATTTTGCCTTGTTCATGTGGAACTAACGTAAAATACAAAGGACGTCAACAGTTTGTGTACGTCTAGACACTACGGTGAAGGGAGACAATTAAAGGGAAGGAAACTCTTGTATGACAATAATTCCGTCAAAGTGTTTTGTTCACTGAGGTGAAATGTCAAGTGTTATGTTCACTGATATAAAAAAAATACTTTTCTCAACTTCCAAAAACTCCGTCTTTCATACTGAAGCATAAATATAATATTTGAACACCTCCGTGTTTTATGCGTCATAGTCCTAGGTGATTTTTGGGCTATTCATGTCACTAATCAAGGACAACAGGTTTGTTTGAAACAACCCAGATAAGTATTTACAGTAACTTAATCACTTTATGGTGGTGCCGCAAATTAGAGACCATATAAGGACTTTGTCACAGTATGACTTATTTTACCGTAAATATGTCTTATGAAGATATTGTGGAGTACAATGTGATTAGTTATGATCTGTCGGAAGAATTAGAGTATATGGCAAGAGATCCGTTCACAATCTTTTGAAAGCAGTAGTTGGTCATTTCCATGAATAGCATATGCCATGTCATGGTTGTTACAATTTTGTACCTACTATTTGTCCCTTTGATAGATTGTTCTTAAAACATAGTTACCTGCTATTGAAAGTCTAACTAACCCTCAAGGTCAGTTACACAAACATGATATGTTCATTTAAACAGAAAAACACATCCTTAAGATAGGGTATTGATGTGGTCTTAAGCAACCTTAATCAAAAGAGCAGGTCACTGGAATTGTATGTGTAGAATAGTTCGGCCTCTACATAAGGAACTCATGTGATGGAAATGCAAACATAGATCATCGAGGGCATGTGATTGACTCAAACTGAGGGCAAAGGCGATAAGACAGGAAGCACAAGAGATGTTGCAAGGTCAGAGACGTAATTGCTGTAATGAGGTTATGTTCCGTCAAGGATACATTATACAATGCCTCAGCCGTTTGTAGAATATGAGAGAAATTAACCCTCAGATGTCCTTTATTCCCATGAAACGTTATGTATACGTATAAATCTTCCTTTTGGAACTTCTTCCCTTCTCACTTCTGAGCATTGACAGTTTTTTTTAAATCAGCAGGTGGTCAGCCGAGGATGGATATCAAGTTTATCGTAACAGGACTGTCAGCATTGCTTGTTCTTACTGGCATCCTGTGTACATTTTGTATTCGAAAATGCTGGTCGAAAAGAAGGTGAGTCCACTTGCACAAGTGGTTTAATGGTAGTGCGTCCGCCCGGAGAACTGAAGGTCCTGGGTTCGATCCCCGACCGCGTCATACCAAAATATGTTAAAAGATGGTACTTATTGTTGTCTGGCGCTCGGCATTAAGGAGTTAAAGCAAGGACTGGTACACTGTTTCTGAGTGGGGTATTCATGTTAAACTGGCATGGTATCTCAGTGGGCTAGCACTAAAATTCGGCATTAGTCCGGACCAGTACAAACAGCCACACACACTCACGCACGCACGCACACACGCACCACGCACGCACGCCCGCCCGCATGCACGCACGCACGCACACACGTGGCTGCATAAGTGCAACAATCCTGAACACGACGTTACATCCCATTTCACCTCACCTCACCTCCTCGGTTTTACACTTCCTAGGTTATTCTGATGAACCGTCAGTACCAGAAGCGACAGTTGACTATTTACATGGCAATGTACACACATGGGGACGGTTCCTCATATGGTCTAAGATGCCATAACTCGCTTTGAAGACGTACATCTCCTACCTCACAGGATATCGTGGGTTCGTGTCAAAGTGTAGGCGAAAAAAAGGATCGTTTTCTGTCACCATTATACGCATGGTCGGTGGTTTACCCAGAGCTGTAACATCATTACAGATAACCAAAATAAAAAAAATTCTGTTGACTAGTTAACCGTTTAAGACTTAACCTTTTTAATGTATACACAGACAGGATGAAGCAGACAACTTCATAGTCGAGTACCAGCCTGGATCAAACAGATATTGGGAAATCAGAGATGCAGATGTGAACCAAGAAAGTGACTCCACTCAAAATAGTGTTTTGGCAGAACAGCTTCAGGAAGTACACACCAGTGAGACACACGATGACCTTTCGTCCGATGACGCTCCTGAAGACAACCCGCCATACACTCACCTAGTGCATGACATCTGCATCGATGATCAAAGAGCTGATATCAAATATATAACACCAGCTGAGGAAAAGGATCAGCCTCCATCCCCTTCACTATAATATATATTCGGAACATTCGGAATAACCAAATACATTCAAATGTCAAGATCACTTTGAAGGTCATTCACTCATGAAACTTACTGCAGCAGTATCATTTAAATTTGACGAAACGTAATACACAGATCCCTAGATTATTATCAAAATGTCCTAGATCACCTCCATTTAGAACCGAAGTGTATGTTGGTTATTTGGTTTATATGCGATTAATTTTCTTTGCTGTAGGATAGTTGTTGTTTCTGTGTTGGTTGTGTTTGCTGTAAGTTTGCTTTACGTGCCAAAAAGCAGGGGATTGTGGAAATCATCAAGTCAGTGAGTGAGTGAGTATAGTTTTACTCCGCTTTTAGCAACGCGAACGCTTTAACCATTAGTCTACCCGACCGCCGCCAGGACATCATCAAGACATTGGTAGATGGAAATGATATGACCCTGGGGAGTAGGTGATCAGAACGACTTCGTTCTCATGGCTAGTGTGATGAGATGGTGGCATATTTCATTAAACAGGTGTCAAATTCGTAATTTGCATTTTTTAGCCAACTAATATGAGGTAAAACCACCTCTGATGACCGGACATGCACGAATTCATCGATGCATGCTTCTTATGAGCCGACTAATGTCAGCCTGACTCAGGTTGTGATAGCAACACTGACGTTTACTGAGCAATGCTGACGGTAACGCCCATAAAACGCTCATTAGGACGTCTCAAAGCTCGATTCCTTCAGTTGTGGAAGAAAACATGACATCAGTCCAAGTCGTTTGTCTCAGTGCTGACGTTCCGTACACCACTGACGCATCTTATTCAAATGACGTGCAGTACGTTGTGGGATGACACTGACATGTGGACATGGACGTGCACGCAAATGCCTTCTGTGCAGACGATTGCACACCGTCTGGGCATGTACTCTTACACCAACTGCCTGTTGCAACCGGTCACTTGTCTGAGTGGCAGTTTTGACTACTAGTCGGCCCTAGGCTGGAGTCGCTACCCTCGGCGTCGGTGTCGAGCATCGACGTTATGTGATTGTTGGAATCAGGCCCACAATCTTATGATAACCGATTGAGAAACTTGCAGCGTTTGGGCAACAATATGTGTGCCCATCTGTAATATGCCAATGACACGTGAACATTCAGCACGTAGCAAACGTCGCACGTGCTATCCGATGTCACGTGCTTCATGACTGTCACAATGGTGTGTTATAGGTGACTTGATTTCTTCGGAAAGCCCTATTGTCCTATTGTCAAACTCTCACAGGCTAACATTTCAATACATATGCTGGCTTTAACGCATGTACATTTAGTGTACAAACATACCTTGCAGTGATTGCACGAGGAGCAGGATATCAGGGAGTCCTTCAAAACGTAAGCAGCAAGTTAAGTATTTTCTTTCTAAGAATGTGACCAAACAGTTTTGCTTTGTCTAAAGATATTTACTGTAATTGAAAATAAATTTATGTTGGACTGACGCATTGCTTTTAACTGCATTTCAGTACGCGTCTCTAATAATGCGATCAACACCCATGACATATCACACATCATATTAAATTGCACGATGTATTTATGTATTGTACGAAAAGTACCCCATATGTTATCCTTCACTGGTCCCGCGTGTAAAATAACTGTTTCGACGAACAAAAGAACAGCGTATGTCTTTTTATGGCTTACCTTTACGTCACAATGTCAGTGGGATATTGTACGACTGCTTCTGCGTATACGTCGACATAAGATGTCGTCTGACTGATTTATTGTCGGTCCCTGTAACATTCCCTATCGGAATTTCAGATCGGATTGGTAAAACAAGGCAATTTGGCCAAGAAGGTCAACTTAAGTTACAGGGCCCCGTTCCGTGAAACGATCGTAGCGCAACGGTGACCGTAAGCCTACAGGAATGTTAAAGTATGGGATTTCCCATCATCTTAGCGTTAATTAAGATTGCTTTGATTGGCCCTGGTTTTAATCCGAATTTCAATCCACTCGCCACGGTGGCCATATTGAAAACTTATTAGTACCCACTTCTCAGGCGTGATTGTTTCAAATGTAATTATACTGTTGTACGTTTAGAAGTTTGTATTAAGACAAAACACATGTTTTTTCTTAAATTTTGACCTTTTCACCTCTCAGTTCTTAGGTGGATAGATGATCTGATATTGTTCAATAACGATAAAAATGCAAATTCTTCGAATTTACCGTTTAGCAGAGATTTGTTAATGAGTATGGAAAATGTTTTGTCGCTTTTATTCAATTCAACACGTATCAATGCCCCTTATACATGCAAGTCATGTTGCATTAAAAAACTCAGTTGGGGGGTCATTTCTTTTGATTTTGCTTAAAATGATATTCATACCGATATCAAAAGCTTTGGCTTATGACCATTGCCAAACGGCAAAGGGCAGTTTATAACGACAAATATTTATGGTGCCTGACTACCCTGAACACCCCCCCCCCCCCACACACACACACACACACACATACCCTCACCCCCCACCCCACCCCAATACGTGGATCCAACATTCGAGTACCGATATAAGTATCATGCCAAGAATTACGAAGGATCTGAGAACCAGAACCAGGCTTAGGCTAGGACGAATGCCTGCTGGCCAGACCGCACGAATGGTTACCAATGCTTTTAATGCCGACGTGAGAAACAGATTGCAGCAACGATGCCAGGTCACCAACAGCTATAGTCGTCCTAAAGCCTGGTTTCACTGATTCTTCGTAAGTCTTGGCACCCAGTATCGATACCAGAATGTTGGATCCATGTATTGGGGTGTCGGGCTCGAGGGACAAGAAAACGCAAGTGAATTTCGATTTTCATACAAATTACATGTCTATATCTGTATAACATGAGCCCATTCAAGGAATGACTGATTGAAGGTTAAGTCTGAAATCCACTGTTATCCACTACCATTCAAATAGTATCTCTTTGATGAAAATCACAAACAGAAAATGTTAATGTTAAACATTGAAAACAATGCCCTGACATTGTGTCAATCTTCCATAATCGGTCGTAACACTTCAAATTCCTAATCATTTCCCATGTTTATCAATGTTTGTTTACAAATCACTTTTTACGTACAAGTAATGCCTATGAAGTGTGTAGTCCTCTGTTGGATGTCCAATGTGTCATTGCAGGCTACAGCGAAAAGAGCAGATGTACTGATGTTTATCTTACTATATATCATACTCGGTGAGTGTGTCTATTTACAAATAGCTTCATTTCAAAATGTGACATAACATGACTTAATATTTGCATAAAATATTTATTTTTTTATGTTCTTGTTTTGAAAGTAAGCTACACGTATTCTTGGATCCAATGAATGGAAATTATAATATATACTGAACAACAAAAGTTGAATAAGATTTGATGTAAAGTTATGTTTTTTACCATTTCTGAAACAATTTCGGTTTGCAACAGATAAAAGACTCCTGTAAGTGTTCAAATGGTTTAATTTGCCATACTGACTTCAGAAAATACGTGATTTCATAAAAAGCATGATCATGCCAAAATATCAATTTACAAATCAATAGCGTGTGTGTCCACCTCTGGTTGCGATGCAAGCAACACATCTTCATCTCATTGAATGGACCAGGCGTGCACAATGTCCTGTGGGATATCTGTCCATATCTGCTGGAGCATGTTTCGAAGTGTCTGTGGAACACGTGGTTGACGTCGAAGGCGCCGATCCATCGCATCCCACATGTGCTCGATTGGTGAGAGATCAGGGGAGCGAGCCGGCCAGGGGATGACATTCACGTTGTTTTGTTGAAGAGAATCCTGAACAAGTCGAGCAATATGAGGTCGGGCGTTGCCATGTTGAAAGGTAATGCCTGGGCCATGAGGACGCCAAAACGGTAGAAAAACAGGGTCGATGATCTCGTCGCGGTAGCGCTGTCCATTGCGATTTCCCTCTACCACTATCAAACGGGTCCTCTGTGTTGCTATAATCCCATCCCATACCATAACGCTGCCGCCCCCGAACCGATCTTCTTCCATGACACAACAATTGACGTAACGTTAACCTCGTCGTCGGTACACTCGAATCCGTCCAACGCTGTGGCTGAGGTGAAAACGAGACACGTCAGTGAATAGAACTTGTCCCCACTGCATGGCTGTCCAGCGTAGACGCTGTCTGCACCCCTGTAGACGTGCTTGACGGTGGTTTCCTGTCAAAATGGGACGTCTGGCGGGTCTTCTGGCGACAATCCCTGCACATCTGAGGCGGCGACGTACAATACTGAAAACCAAACTTTACATGTTTGAAAAATACACTCAAATATTGGTGTCAAGGGAACTTTAGTTGTTGCGTATATTTAATCATTCGAACTATAGACTTAGAAATGTAGTCGATAAGAACACATTTACATTATTTGCACAATATTTGTTTATGCTATGTTGCAGTGCTGGATGTCAGAGGTGACCCAATATGTCCACGTGGCAGATATGGAGATACATGTGACAAAAACTGTTCTAAACACTGTAGTATATCACCTAGCCTGGACATTATACACTGTGACAGGGGCAGTGGACGTTGTTCGGAAGGATGTATTCCAGGCTGGTATGATGATACATGCAATAAAGAATGCAACACGAAATGTATCAACAACACCTGCAATCACGGAGATGGAGCGTGTACAAGAGGCTGTAAAGATGGCGAAAAGGGGAACTTTTGTGAAAGTATGAATTAGCAAATATAACTAAACTGATCACACAAAATATGTGTACGTGTCCTCCAAATCCGCCATTTTGAATTCAAGTTACAAAAGAATATCATTGAATAATATGAATTTGTTTCTCAGGGTATTGAAGAAGAGTCCCCAGTAACTAGCCGTAATTTTACAGCCATTATTTGCAAGAATTTGTTAGATATTTTAAGAGTTATCTTCCCTGATCGTTAGGAGTGTAGTTAATTCCGCGCTGGCCATAGGTTAATTACATGGCAATGCGCAGGTAAAAGTACTAAATTATAAGTTGACAGATGACGAATCCCCTTATTTAAAAAAAAATGTTTTGCAAAGACACTTCTACACTAAATCAAAATTGAGTAAGTGAATAAAGTTTACAGTGGCATATGTGGCTAAAAAAGCTATTGGCCCTTGTGTTAAAACTCGAATGAATAATTTTACACAGGGCCAGGATCCAAAATGAGGTCAAATCAGCAGAAGCCGTATATTTCTATAGTATATTATCAACAGATGTCTGTTGATAAAACATCCAGTTAACATATTTTTCTTAATGTTTTTAGTATATCCCCTTACGTACAAATGTTGACGTTGTAGAAAACCATATACATGTCAAGGTTTCTTTCCATGCGTTGACAGGGATTTGCGTTAAGAAATAGTGATGTACGCGGGGCAATGACAGACGCTCGTCATATGGGACTGTATAAAATACAGTATTCATGTTCCTAGATGTGCATCTGTATGAATGTTGTCATGCAAGACCAACTCGTGTTATTCCGGGAAAAGCCGAATACCGACTCAGCCCGTCTTGTGGCCATTTTTGCGACTTGGCTCCGTCTATGTGCGAACGAGCATTACTATAAAAATTGTCAGCTGGTTGTGTAACGATCCAAGTATAGTCTCCCCATATACAATACATTTTGCAGATTTCTATTTAAAACACATCGGACTTAAGTTTTTATACAGTATGATTGCATCAGTATCCATGGTTACTCTTGAATTAACCAGGGGCACAAGGAAATGCAGTTGAGAAATTCGATCTTGTAATAACCACCAAAAGCAGTGAGATCTTATAGAATTATAAACTGATTATATGTGTATAGTTTCAGGGGGAGAACATGAAACCAAGGGGAATGACAGCACAACACCTCTGTGGGAGATACTCGTTCCGGTTATTGGCTTCATTTTTCTGTTGCTAGTCTTCATGGTTCTAATCGGTATCTTACGGTAAGCATTGGCATCTCTCAATGTATATAAATGCTTTCAGTGGGCTTATGTATGTCGGTCGCAGCTGAACCTGTTACAAGCTAAATATATCCCAAAGCATATCCAATAAACAAGAACTAATTATCCCAGCAACATGTTTAGTTTTTGATTGTATGTAATTGATTGCACTTGCAATTCATCAATGTAACTGAAGTCGTGGTAACTATGCGGTAGTAACAATACATAGAGATACAACTGCAACATGCTTGCATCTTCTTGCATCTGAAATATAATTAGTGTTTGTTCATGAAATAAGTTTAATTTGATGATTTCTTTAGAATTGGATATGGAATGGCCATCTTTCACTACTAATAACGAAATGAATACTGTACAATTACTAAGGTGAACGAAATTTGTTTTTTGAGCGATACTAACTTTGATGCCTTGTTTTCGGAAATAAGAGGAATCTAGCACCAAGACAATTGCGAATGAACACAATGTTGTACCCTGTTCAGATGTGGCCGCCGACACTGATCAAAGCGACTGCTCCTGATCAATCCCAAACTAAAACTCGATTCACAATCGTATCAGAAAAAAATACCTACAACATTTTGAGAAACCAAGACACAGCAAATCTACAACAAAAAACATTGTATTAATAGGCTCTGAAATTGTTCAATGGTAAGCCAAATAAATTTAATCTAGCTTTTAAAAAAAATAAGACATAAAAAGTTAAGGAAAGAAACCTAAAATGTAAACAAAACAAACAACTTGCCTACCTGTTTATATATAATATAATTAACCGACTGGTCATCGGAGACGTGAAAATACCCGTAGGCGAATTACCATTCCGGTTTCTGAGCTGGCCGACCTTCTCCGTGCATTCTAGGCCAAGAAACGGCGGCACAACAGGAAGGCATGAGGCCATACTGTAGGTCCATCTCAGGTGACAAGAAACACCAGCTAAGCAAAGTATTACGCCACACATGACACATCCCAAACTCCAAATATAACACACCCTGACGTTGAAAGCTAACACGAAACACACAAGTTTCAGAGCACTCCCTTCAATCCCCACAAGTCCATTCAACATTGTCGAATTGGTTTGCGATTATCCAAACACAAGCAGCATATTCATACATCCGTCATATTCCCAAATTGCTACAGCCATGGGAGGGTTCATGCGTCGGGATGTTTTCCATAACTGTCAATAGGCTTTACTTTCAACAGTAGTAAAGTAAACATTTATCCTCATGCTCCCGTTCGACTCAAAATGCACCCCTTCACAAACTCATGTGACGTCATATATAAATCCGCACTTGAAGGTTGACCTCGCCTCGATGCATCGAGTCCTGTTTATATTTGAGTTCACTTTCTTGTTACCTATTTTTAAGATTTGATTGATCCCAAAGATTTTTTGACAATTTGTTCAGAAAATAAGTTTATTTTGATGTTGAAATATTTTCAGATTATGTTGTATATATTAAAATAACTGTTTTTCTTTGCTTAACTGGGTATGAGTTGGGAAACGTATGTAACCGAGAGCCTGCAAATATCGACAAAATACCATTACCCTATTAGTTTCAGAGGCAAAACAATACACATATCACAAGTATGTAATTTATTTTATTCCTTAAATCGGCTCATATTTTTCACATGTGTTTGTTTTTTTAAATCTGGCCTCATAATGGAGGATAAAACGTTTCCCTGCTAGGTTGCAATGCTATTTTCTATGAATGGTTGTCAAAACAAACCAATAACCAATTATCTATTGAAGAGATATTGGCCTAAAGCAATAACTGGTTTCAAACATTGAACACATCAATGGAGTGATCTATCGTTTCCTTTTTCAAATGGGGACGGTTTTGTTAGGCTGGTGCCGACGCTGGTGCTGATGTTAAATACAACACCCAGTTACTTATCAATCAAATATGGGAGTTATTTTGTATGCGGATGGGAAGAAAATCAAACAGAATATCGACCCAACCCCACCCCCCCACCCCCCCCCCCCACCCCCATAAGTACGTCGGCAAGATGGTTTATGTGAAACATTCACTGGATCTTGTTAGGACATGAAGGAACAATAAAGCATAAAGAAAGCCTGATTTTATTGTGATTGATACTTGCTGTTGCTGTTTGTGTATAAAATGAAGTTTGATTAGACTGCCAGTATTAAACTGTTTTCAAATTGTTGTGTGGTCTCTCCTTGTTATGTATGGAGACTGATATCTTTTGCGTTGTGACAAGAAAGGGGCCCAGTTAAATTAGCACCAATAACGTCATAATCTAAGGGGGATAACTCAGGCCTATTTAGCTCAGAAATCCACTAAGACAAATGTGCGGTTCTTGCACAATTAGTGTGGATTCAATAGCAGTTAATGTAAACGTGTTAGATGACGCTATGTACCTTTCACGCAAACCTTTGTATTCTTTATTTACAGGTGTGGAAAGGGAAGACTATATGGCAGGTAAGCGTAGAATCCATGTATTGACGATCACAGTCTTGTTATACTATTTCACAGTGACAAGAGTAGAAGGCAATTCAACTAGTCGTGTCAAGATTAAGGAAGAGAATTTATGGATGTCAACTTCTTTATCAATGCAATAGTTAGGAGATTTTACGAGCGCTTCAACCTCTGGCTATTTCGCACTCTGGGCAGACAGGTCTTATGAAACCATAAATAGTGGGAATAATAATAAACGTCTAGCCCAAAAAACTGTAAATGAAGGGGGATAAAGTAGGAGAGAAGACGGGATTGGGGTGAAGAGGCAGAGAGATGCCATAATGAGATTGTGAAAGTCCTACGTTAACCAAGGTCTAGGGGAGTAGATATGAGGTGGAAGAGATGGAAATAAAATAGAGATCAGTTAAGCTGATGTTTTAGTATATAATAAGAAAAAGAAAAATTTAAGTTGAAAAAAAAATCAAAAGTGGATAGGGATGGGTAACCTATGCTAATAAACAGGGGCCTTACGCGGGGGTGGGTATAGGCTGAGTCGCGGTGAGTGTTTAAGTTGTATTGATGTGATGCCTGTGAGGATTTGTAGTGTGTTAAGGGGGTTGCCATTTCTGGTCCCCAGGGCTATCTTGAGGGCTTTATATTGGATTGAATTAAGCTTTTTTTCCAGGTTTTCTGTTAAGGAGCGGAAGACCGGAGCGGCATAGTCTATTTTGGCTTGGATAAGTGTTTTGTATCTGGTTATGAGTGTTTGTTTGTCAGCTCCCCAGTGAGAGCCGCTGATGGCTCTCATTAGGTTGATGTCTTTTTGACAGGAATTGGCCTCGTTATGAATATCGGGAGCCCATGTGAGGTGTTGGTCAAATGTGACTCCTAAAATGTTTGCATCTTTTTGGAATTTGATAGTTTCTTCATTAAGTGTGAGTTTGGGTGATAAATTTGGCATGAAGGGTTTTTTGAATACTAAGCCGATGGTTTTTTTGGTATTAATTTTGAACCCCCATTGGGAAGCCCAGTGTTCTAGGTCAGAAAGGATTGGTTTAATTCTTTTTTCGATTTGTTTTATTGATGTTGATGACGTCCAGAATGAGATATCGTCGGCGAATTTTGCTGTAGTTATGTTTTTAGGGAGATTTGGGAAAATGTCATCAATCATAAGGTTAAATAACGTGGGTGACAGGATGCTTCCCTGGGGGGTGCCATTTTCTAGTTGGTGGGGTTCAGATAGTGTGTTTGATTTTACTGTTATGTTTCTGTTACTTAGGAAAGAGTGAATTAAATTTAAAATTCTTCCATCAATGGCTTTGCCTAGTAATTTTTGAATTAGGCCTTGTTGCCAAACCCTGTTAAATGCTTTAGAAAAATCAATACAAATGGCCACAGTGTATTGTTTTTGTGTTTGGGCTGTCTTAACATCATGTTCCAGATTTAAAATATGGTCTAAAGTCTGTCTATTGGCGGTGAAGCCGCTCTGGTCCTCCTTAATAAGGCTATTGTTTTGGATTTTATGCTTTAGTCTGTTATTGATTATTGATTCCATAATTTTACATAAATGTGATGTGAGTGAGATGGGGCGATAAGAGTCTGGGTCATTTGGGGGTTTCCCTGGTTTCAGAACTGGCACCACCAGTGCATTTTTCCATGTTTTGGGGAGGTAGCCAGAAGTCCAAATTTGGTTGTATAGTTGTAGAAGTAATCTTTGAATTTTGATGGGGATATGATTGAGCATTTTGTAGCTGATGTTGTCTAATCCAGTGGCTGGGGATGTGTTTTTGTTTTTTATTGCAGTTTGTAGTTCATGTATATTAATGAGTTTGTTTATTGGTAGGTGTGAATGTGGGGTTCTGTTTTGGTATGTAGGTTGAGTTTTTATGGTATCTTGTATGTGTTTTGAATGGTTGGTGGAGCTGCTAGCGGCCGAAAGGTGGGCAGCCATGGCGTTAGCCTTTTCTTAATCTGTTTTTAGCGAAGGAAATTTGGGCGTATTAAAAGTCTTGGCATTGCCTTTAATTGCTTTAAGTTTTTTCCATAATATTTTTGAATTTTGTTTGCCCAGCCTCAAGGTTGATGTAAATGTTTGCCAGTATTTTGGCCGCCTTAATTAGTTCCTTAGTTAGATTTCTTTATTTGTGTGCCAAATGAAGTTTAGTAATATCATGTTTTGCCTTATTTAATGCTTTTTTCTGAGTTTTCTGGATTCTATGATTTCTGGGCTCCACCATGGTCCTGTGTTGTGTGTATGGTTTGTTTTGGTGGTGGGTATGCATTTCCTGGCTATGTTGTATAGTGTATTACTGAGGTTTGTGTTGAATATGTCGGTGTCAGTATTGTGTATGTTATGGGTGTCTATTTTGTTGCAAAGTGTGGTGAATTCCTGCCAGTCAGCTTTAGTGAAGTTAAATTTGGTTTGTTGGGTGTAGTCAGTTGGAGGGTTAGGGTCAGAGGCGGGGTGGATGGGTGAAATATTAAGAGAGATTTTTAAGGGGTAGTGATCGCTACCCCAGGTGTCACAATGGGGTTCACAGGTGAGCTTTTGGAATAGATGAGGGGTTGAAATGGAGAGGTCTACTGCTGTGGGAGATTGGAGGTGGCTGGTGGGAAATCTAGTAGCTCGGTTGTCATTAAGGCAGATACGATTTGTGGTGTCTAACCATTCTAGTAGGACTTTTCCAAATTTGTCTAAGTAGTTTTTTGTGCCCCACAGTGGGTGGTGTGCATAGAATCACCTAGAATGAGGGTGTTTGGGCCTATGAATTTTGATAGTATTTCTAAATCCTCAGGGGTAAATGGCTTGGTCTTAGTGTGGTAATAGTTTATAATAGTGAAAAGGCCCAGGCCACCATGGGGGGGGGGGGGGGGGTCCTGGTTTATTTGGAGGTCTGGCTCTATGTTGCCGAAGGAAAGTATAGCCTGGCAATTTGAAGGCTTTTTGGGGAGATATTTTGGTTTCTTGTACAGCAGTTACCGGTACATAAGGGACAATTTTGTTTAGGGCGATGAGAGCCTTAAGTTCATGCCCATTGGTGGTGAGACCGTTGCAATTCCACTGTACCTAGGTAGCAGGGTTTTTTTCGGCTTGGGTTGGGTCTTGGGTGGAGGTACTGCGGTGGAGGGGGGGGGGGGGGGGGGGGTTGGGTTGGGTTGGAATGGTTGGTTCGGGTAAAGCAATGTTTAGTGTGTGTGTGGGTCGGTGGGTGGGGTGGGCTGGCGTTTGTTTGGTAGGAGTGGGTCTGTGGTGTTGGCAGTGGGGTAGAGGAACACAACGTTTTGTAGTATATGCTTACTCCTGCATCAGGTGAACGGATGCAATGAGGCAGAGAGCATATAAATATAAGTAACAACAGTAATTTGCGCTGATAGTAATGGACAGCTGGAAGCAAGGACTAAATTAACACTGATAGGTAAAGAGCAATGGACAATAGTAACGGGAGGCCGGGGGTAATTAGCACTGACAGGTAAAGGAAATAGTAAAAGCAATACGCAAATGGAAGCCAGCTAGATAATAGGCACTGACAAAGATCCAAGCAATAAGTCCCAAGCACTAGGCACATATGTTCCCTGGTCACGGTTCATGGCTGGCTGGTGTCTCCTGATGTCAATGTTTTTTGCAGTTTTCTTTGTTGCCAGTTGCAGGGGGTCTGGTATATACATCTTCGGGGGTTGGGACTGACACTGCTTGTGCCTCTGCCATTATACATAGTTTAATGTTAGGTTAACATATACAGGCAAATACATGCTCTGTGAGAATGCGTAGATGGGTTTGGAAGTCACTGTAGCAGCTACTCGTTTAACTGAAGTCATGGTGAATTTGTGCTCAAATCAACTTAACATGTATTCCGAGGGTAAGATGGTGATTTCTGAACCCATTTCTATCAGAAGAAGGATATTTCAGGATGATTCTTTCAGTCCTTTGCGTTTGTCAATAAATATGCTATTTTCTTGGCAAAGAAGAAGGTTATCACCCTGGACCTCCTCAGCACAGAAAACTAACATCCCATACTCACCTCATTTGAATGGATGACCTTGAAATTCTTGCCAAAGGAGAATCCACTCATAATCACTTGCACAATCGAATTACTTTATGACTCTTTCTGACTCATTTTGATATCCCATGAGCTGTTTGAAAGACTTTATCAACAACACTCTGTACGCATGAACAATATTATACCTTATCCTATCCTTATTTCAACACAGGGTCACTCAAACGGCCGCTAACTGACACCCAACTCTAATTTAGGCCAATGCTGACGGGAATCTGGACCACGCGAAAGAGATCGTGAATGATGGTTTGTATGGATTGACACCGCTGATGTTGGCAGCACAGAACGGACGCTACGATGTCTTTGAATATATCCAAAGAAAAGGAGGTGATATGACGCTAAGGGATGGTTTAAACATATTTATTTTCACAAAAGTGTGAAAATGGATAGGTAAACAAGCGAAGCACTTATGTTAGTACCGCTCCATTGCACATAGGACATATGACAATAAATACATAAATGAAGGTTAGATGTAACAAATAAATTGTACATGCCAAGCTGTGTACATATGTACATATAATAAATCTATTTGCAGTTTATTTTAAACAATCATTTAACTGAAAATCTGCCAGTTTTTAATATAAAGTGTTGAATAGAATCTAATGTTAGCATTTGCTCTTCCTTACTCAAATCCGAATTTCCGCATAGCACTGTTTGTAAAGAATAACCGTGTTTGTAAAAATAGTAAGAGCATAGTAATTTGTACACAAAAAAAGAAGTGTAGAGCATCTTCGGTATGATATCCACAGGAACAAGTTTTTGTATCAAAGATATGTCTATTATACTGATCTGCGTTAAGATCGCTGCAGCCAAGCCTGAGGCGACTGTGAATAATTTGGCATAATATGCTTCCATAATTTAAATCCCAGTGTATACCATTATCTCCCTTTACGTGAAGCAAATTCTTAAATTGTGTAAGCTTGCTCCGACGTTCATACAATGTTTGGCCCTCACTCTATGAAGGTTCATACTCCAATGAATTCACACAAAGTGGAAGTCAATTATTATGATTTGTTTATTACAATTTCTTACCTCAAAGGATGTAGGCCAAGATCTAAACACAATTTTATTTAGTATGTGTGACTTCATGTTTACACTGACAGCCATACAACAACCAGCTGTATTGCGGGGTCAAATAGTTCCTAAAAAAAAGAGAGGTGACATGGGCGTATGGATGCATAACTTTACGTCATTTCAAGAACACGGTCTCGTGAAAAACGTATGAACGTCAAATTGCGTCATGTGACCGACCTCTCGTCCAATGGAAAAGCCGTATATCGTGTAAACTTCAAATAAAAAAAAATATTTTGTAAAACATTACCAGTTTTAAGTTGTATCTTCTGTCTTTTAATGATTATAAAATATTCGCATGAACTCAACTATCATAATAATACACATAACTCTAGCACTTGGCCCGGGAGACGGGTTTTGCAAGTACAACTTAATTTGCCAGAACTGACAGTTTTGCATTGAACGTAATGTTTATGACTACCATTTCTAAGTTATGTGCACACTTTAAATCGTCCCAGGTGAGCTACATTGACTGTTCTCATGTTTCGAGCAAATGATATCTAACGATATATTTGTTGTATTAACATCACATTAAAATCCTTTTCAAATGTAAATATTCTTTCTTCCTCAAACGGAGAGGCGACATTCAGGTAAATGTTTTGTATGGTTTAAATCATGTTCATGATCAAGAATGAGCTGAATGTGATCCGTATGTGCAATACTGTCCTTCACCGCTCACGAAATCTACGTCAGAGTAGCTGAACATACTATGAACCCGCATTAGCGTCATCGTGTCTTTGAGCCAGTCCTCAAGCGTGCTTGTTTGTCACGCGTCACCTGAGTTTTGACTTACTAGCTTGTACTTGTGTCATTGACATTTCAACGTGGACTGTGTCTACATGAGATGTCTACCTGTAAATGGTTTTTATGGTTACTGTTTACTGTGGTACCATATGCCCATCTTCTGGCTACGCTCTCATTACAAGTAATGACACTATTCAGAATTGATTCGTGACTGTTCTGATGTTTTGTATTGTTTTTATTTCATTACATATGTGTAGTATTATTATAGCTGACATGTGAACGTGTTTGGGACATTATCATAATGTGACATTTCAACGTCTATGTTTGACACGTTTGCTCCATTTATATTGTTTATTTGATTTGGTTATTTGGGTTCCTGTTGACATCAATCTATCACCTAACTGATATTTGATATTTGATATACCGTATAGTGTGTTTAACTTTTGTGTGTACATTAACCTTTTATTTATTTGTATTTTAGTAATCTTTATTTGTATATGTTAACGTTTTCGTCTCTCATAACTCCAATAGGAGTGGCTTATTTAAATATTATATATATATTTATCATATAATGGGCAGGTTTCTCGGCAGGATAAAGCCAACGGATAAAAACGATATCCGTTGGGGTCATATGCGGATAGAGATGCAAATATCAAAGGTCAAGTAGGACTACTTTCACTGTTTATAAACAAACATGGCGTCGTCCTCGTCATTCGGCGATCGAGTCAAAATTAACCATCGGGAATCTGGATAAACAACAGGGATAATTGCTACCATTATCAAAAGAACAGTCTAATATACTGAAAATCAGTCTCTAACTGTGACGTAGCTAAGGCATTTTATAAGTTTTGGCTACTTTGGAGGTATAAATTTCGAAACAGTTTTGCGAGGGCGCGAGGCCTAGCCAAGCGGGATCAGTAGCAATATCTGTGCTTGTAGACCTCTGCGACTTGAAACCTTCTCCACAAATTAAAAAAGTTGGATTTGGCCGAAATATGTTTGAATTGTTACCTTGTTTGGTTTTGTCGCTGTGTGTACATTTGACTACACTTCTTAACCTTATGACAGGACAGACCGACTGTCAACAACGTCTGACCGTGCCCGTGACGTCTCATAGACTAGGGTTAGAGTAGCTTCCCTTTGACAAAGGGCAGTTACTCTAGCGGACAGACCGATGGATTGCCGCGAAAGGCAATTAAAAACAACTGTTGTTTTGCGTATATGTTGCTTCGCCACTGTATAAGAAAGAGATTTCAGTTGGAACTATATTGGCTACTGTCACTGTCCGACTGACACATCACTTACCCTGTGACGTAATAAATATTAATGCGCGCATTCCAGGAAAACTCGCAATGTTTCGGTAATGTTTGTGAGAGAGGGATAGCGATTTTAAAGCACAGAATTAAAGCATGACATTATATGATAAAGAGGTTATCACGCTTGTGTGTTTGGGGATGGTAAATATCCTGTATTAGGAATAAACACTATGTATTTAGCTCACCAAGGCTCGCTAAATACAATGTTTATTCCTAATGAAGGATATTTACCATCCCCAAACACACTCGCGTGATAACCTCTCTATATATATATAATAAAATAATAAAGTCCACGTTAGTCCATCATCTTCTTTATATCAGTTTCATACATAGTACTTTTGCTGTCTCATGACAGCTCTTCAGTGTAACTGACAATATATATATACAACATATATATATATATATATATATATATATATATTTTATGTAATATTTGAGGTGAGACGTAAATAAAATGTCTGTCTGTCTGTTTTAATTACTTATTATCATGCATTTGTTATAGAATATTGCTGAGTGCGGAATTAAACAACAAACAAACATACCGTATATAGACTAAATAATGGCGCATTAGTGACATCTATACAATGGATTGATAGTTGCCAGCCTCGCTATACCTCGCATTTCTTCAACGGTCAATGGACCGTATCGAGGATTAAGTCTTCTTGCGTCATGACTGTTATCATTTACTCCAATTATAGGAAAGTGACATGGACATGGACAAGTGTTCCCTTGTATATTGTCGCTGTTCTCTCGTCACACATATTTGATGGCAATATGGTCAGATGTACATGTCTTAGACGCTTACCACTTCCATCACTACAGACATATTGTTTTAAAGTTACCGTGTCATACTCCGGCTGTGAGAAAGATGTGACAAAATACCATACATATACTCTCAAAAAAAGAAGGGCGTATTCAATAATAGTGAGTACAGAAATACAAAGAGGTATGGCGTGATGGTTGTGTGCGGAAAAGAAACGGGAAGGACTTGGTGTAACATGTCAATCAACACAACAGGTACTGTAAGCGCGCAAACAACCAAGAAAGACTATAGGGGTGTATATTCAAAAAGTGGACGTATGAGAAGAGCAGATCAAGAACGGGTCTTGCTCCAACGATTGGTCTAACATTCGTTCGTACGGTGTGGCATGGTTCGAATCCATCTCCCAATTTCAAGTTGATGGAGACTTGTCCATACCTCTTGCAGCGCGTGTCACAGTTCTAGTAATGTAGTGGGTGGTCTTTGGTGTCGGCGTACACGTCTGCCGATCATGTTCCAAGCGTGCTCTGTGGTGCAAAGGTCAGCACTCATTCAGGGGATGTTTTGTTGTTGGGGTAACTAGATACGATACGAGCACAATGGGCACAAGCGTTATCGTCTTGAAAGGCAAAACAAGGACCAGCATGGCGGCAAACAGCACAACTATTGGCCTCAGTATGTGGTCTCGGTATTACTATTCAGTGACCCTTCCAGGAAACTATGCAGTGACGTTCTAGCAGTCACGGTGATCCTGCCCCATATCATTACAAACCCACCCCAAAATCTGTCATGTTGCCTAAAGTTGATGTTTGCATGACGTTCGTTAGGACGCCTCCATACACGTCCACGTCTATCCAAAAAATTCCGGAGTGAAAATATGAATTCATCTGCAACACCGGCGATGACTCCTGTTTTTATCATCTATAAACACCAATCGGCGTCTGGCCAGAATGTTGCGGTGGTACAATAAAAACGTCAATGCAGGGTAATAGAGGAACCAGTCTTAATTAGCCGACGAAAACATTCCTTCTGGCATGAAAGACAAAATAGCTGTGAAAATCAGTCTGACAAGTTGCCTTGAAGCAGCTGCAGGCAGGAGCGTTCTTATGAACAACCGTGATATGTGCATACGCTAGAGGCAGGAACATCAAGTCGGACATTTCAACAGCAATTGGGGACGTGTTTATGATGGGTTTCAGTGTTTGTTTCACCTCCGCCGTTTTACGCCCAGTGGGGATTGTTTCCGCGGGTGATCGAGACTGGTTCGTTGGCGTTGACGTTTTGTGTTTATAAGACATTGTAGCGTGGTCTGGTGGCAGGCGCAATTCCAGTCATGTACAAGTGTCTTATTACACAATCATGTAAATCACGTATGGTTCTAAAATGTTTACAAGTTGCAGTCAAGCTGTCGTGTTAGTTATTTACACCGAATATTCATGCAACCAAGAAAGCAGTCGTGTCTGGTGAACCCAATGACTTCATTTCAATACTGCATTTGAAAACACGACCATTTATTTGTCATTAACAGCGAAAGGGCACACACAAGGCTGCGTTAACACATTTCAAAGCTATAACTCGTAACACATAAAAGACTTTACAAAGACATTTTAGCAATGCTGAACTACTATGGGAGGTACTTTTGAGGTACAATCGAGCAAATCCTTTCTATGAAGATTTCACAAAGTATCAAACGACCATTTCTCAAAAGCTATTGATCAAGGTTACAACGCTCAAGGCCTGAGTAAAGCTATCAAAAGGTTTTATAGTTGCCCCGTGGAGGATGTTCCATATTTCAACCTGTTGCAGGAATGAATGATGGTTAACAAGACATCATCAAATTTAGAAATATATTTTTAAGTTTTCAATTGCATTTAAACAAACTCGACATATCTTCTTTTGCCACTCAGTTTTATATGATATGAAGGACACTTGCGTGAGGTTTTACTACCTAACAAATAGTTCAATGCATATGTAACTCGCTAGGTTTGCTTCTTGTCTTTAATGTGTATGTCCATTTGAATGTTAATTGGCTTCTATTTCGTTTTGTTCTGTATGTTTTAGCACAAGTCACTTCGACTTTTGTCTTAATGTTCAGCATGTATGTAGGTGATTGACATAGGGTGATGTCATGTTGATCTGCAGCATTATGTCTGAATAAGGAAACGCATGAACAGTGTATAGTGTCCGTGCTGTGTGTTCAAAAGGAGAAAAATGTCTGTAATTTACATTAGATACTTCCTACTTTTTGACTAAATCAAAAGTTGGACTTTGTATAATGGAAACAGTAGTTTTCAACGGCTCTGTATCAGTATCACTCGCTTATTTTGCCATAAACACAATATGGACGACAGTTAATCAATTATTTGTTAGATATTTCTTAGATCTAGAAGCTGATGGATGACAAAGCAGACACAATTTATAGATAACGTTAACAACTTATTTATTTTACTTAAAGAGCGACGTATCGGTATAGAACCCTATATTGTCGTCAAGCAAGACTGAAAATGAACGTGGTACAGCATATGTATGGTAGGTGGAGGATGTACAGTAACAACAATTGCATATGAAGAACTTGATTTAAAGCCATGATACGATGTGGAAAGTCACTGATATTGTCAAGTGTAAAGCAGCATCTTAATGTAGCGCACGGCCGTCAGCTCATTTCGCCAGGAAAATGTCCCTGTTTTGTATCTTAACTGCTCGACAGCTGTGTGTGGCTGAAATGCTAAGCATATGTATTGTGCTGTGCCCATCATCTAGTTATTCGTCCTACCACGGCATATAGGAATGAGACATAATCCTTTGAGAAAGTCTGTATTCATGACATTGCTGATGGTAACTTAATGATGATTTACTGGTTGAGCAGAAGATGGACTGGCGTTGGGTGATCACAAGTCTTTACTTTTATGATATGATCTTATCACCACATTCTTTAAGGCTGTTCTGTTTACACCAACATGTAATGTAAAATATACTCTTACAAATATAATAGATGATTGGATATTTGTAATGCGCTATAGGCCATACGTTAACGTATGATCAAAGCACTAACACCGTTATTATCCCAGTCAAAGAATTAGTTTTTCTCTCGATTATCTTTCTCAGCTCCCAAGGAAGTATAAAACCTAAGCTGTGGGGCGATAGAAGTTTAACACAAACTTCTCATCCTCAAAGGTACCCACTCACTGTTGAGGTACATTTCGATGGAGACACCATATTTGCTACATGTGCTTCAGTGTGGAGCAGGACCGAAGCCCTAGAAGCCCTCAGTAGTCAAGCTACCAAAAAAGCCTATCACCCATGTAACTACTTGCTGTGATCTCGTTCTTTAACTTCGACTGTTTTGTGACCTGCGCAATGTGCACAGGACCACGTCCCACCACTGGGTCTGTCCCTCACTATTGAAACTGTCACAATACAGAATTTGTTACTAATACTTAACATTGATCTGTCAGTTATGGTGATACAACAAACTGAAAGATCTAATGTATAAATATCTCATGTCTTTGGATCTGTTTATTCCTTGTCATAAGGGCAGGTGTTGGGTAC